CTGAAATAAAAGCGATTTTCTCGTGTTTTTCTATGATTTCATGCTTTAATACAATGGACATCATCATCCTCTTCTTCTCAGCAATGTCCTTTGCACTTACTTTCTTAGGACCCATGGTTAGAAAAAAGAAATTTGGCAAAATAACTGCACAAAAAGCACAAAATGCTGCGATGCTGGGTGGATGTCGGATGTTGTGGCATTCACTGCACCAACTAGTGGCGGCATATATGAAGCTCGCTCATAACTCGGATTTTGGCTCACAACTCAAAGCAAAAAATCAACCGAGAGACGGCTCATAACTTAGAAAACTCCTAAGTTGGACCACTTGTAAGTCAAGGTACCACTGTAGTTTAGATCTGTAAAAATTAAAAAAAGCATTTCTCATAAGTGAATAAAATCTTAATTAGTGATACAATATTTTACAAATTAAAATTCAAAATTTTTATTTTTATTTGGAAAATTCTGGACTTCAAAATGTATTTAAAATTTAAAAAATGTCTCTCATTTTCATACATTTCTGAATCAAAAAATAAAAATTAAAGTTCTGAATTTTAATAATTAAAATAATTACTATGTTTGGAAGATACTATAAGGAAGATACTGTGTTGTACTATATACTGCTACATATTTATGCAAGTGTTCATGCATGCAAGCTTGGAAGATTGATTTATGGGGTCATATAACCAGCAAACCTTTTATGAAAATAATTAAGAGGCTAAATTATGCTTATACATCAAAACTAAGATCAAATTTATTAACCCTAACATCTGTCCAATATGCAATACAGTAGACAAGTTTATCAGATACATAAATGTATGTGTGTGTGTGTATGAGTGTACACCTCCCCAGAAGTACTTATCTAAACATGTTTATGAATATCAAGATCTAGCACTGATTTGTAAAATTTAAAAAAACTCTAGAACATGTTTTTGTAATTTTAAATCATATTATAAAAATGTTCATAATAATGCAATCATAATTCTTCAAAGTTCATTAATTGCATTTTATTATGTCCATTATCTGGTCTAAGACATTGGCTACAAGTTACAATACAAAAACCATCACAGTGTATTAAAAAAAATATCCAAGGGAATATGGTATTCAGATTTGATACAAGAACCCATCTGGTGACATGTCCACTCATGGAGAGATCTAAATGCATCCACTCCCCTCATACTCCATCCCTCCAATCTGATATTCAATCTATCATTGCCTAGACTCTTTGTTACCCTTATTACCTCACTCTTTTCTATGTTCACTTTCAGCTTCCTTCTTTTATATATACCCCTCCCCCACACACACCCACACACACACCTGCAACCACAATTAGGCGAGTACACCCACCCACCCACACCCACACCCACACACCTATGAATGCATCATTGGAAGTGTTTGTAAACAGATCTGGTCAAGAATTCTTTACCAAGGCTGGTAGATCCACAGAAACACACATACAAAACAATAGTGAGCTGCCAACTTCAAGTTAATTTACCATTGCAGTTACCCTGACCAGGAAGAATAATTTCAGGTGGGGACAAAAATAACTAATTTAAATTCTAGATCAGTTTTAAGTGTAGCAATGTGGTTAAGAAAACATGGACGTAAAAACATACGCCTGAGATCAGATAAGTGATACATTCAACTTAATGCTAAATACAGTGGACCCTCGACTAACGCTATTAATCCGTTCCTGAGAGCTCATCGTTAGTCAAAATTATCGTTAATCAAGTTAATTTTCCCCATAATAAATAATGGAAATCAAATTAATCCGTGTAGGACACCCCAAAGTATGAAAAAAAAAATTGTTTTTGCCACATGAAATATTAATTTTAATACACACAAACTGAAGAAGACATGCACAGTTACATGACACTTACCTTTATTGAAGATCTGGTGATGATTGATGGGATGGGAGGAGGGGAGTGTTGATGGTCTTAGTGTTTAGAAGGGGAATCCCTTCCATTAGGACTTGAGGTGGCAAGTCCTTTTCCGGGGTTACTTCCCTTCCCTTTAAATCTCTCAAACCAACCTTTGCTGGCCTTAAATTCACTCACATCACCACTAGTTGCTGGCATTTTTTTAATTAAATCGTCATGCAACTTCCTAGCCTTTTCACATATGATCGCTTGAGAGATGCTATCTCCTGCTATCTGTTTTTCGTTTAACCACACCAATAACAGTCTCTCAACATCTTCGAGTACTTGCGATCTCAGTTTCGAAAACATAGTTGCACCTTTGGCAAGAACAGCTTCCTTCATTGCCGTTTTCTTGCCCACAATAGTAGGGATGGTTGATTGGGGTTTTGTGTACAACCTGGTCAGCTCGGAGACACGCACTCCACTTTCATACTTAGCAATGATCTCTTTCTTCATATCCATAGTAATTCTCACCCTTTTTGCTGTAGGGTTGGCACTAGAAGCTTTCTTGGGGCCCATGGTGACTTATTTTGCAGGTGCAATCACTAAAAAGGCTGTGATAATATGAAATGTTCCGATTGTATGCTTGGAAGCGACCGCGGTGGCTGGCTGGCTTGTAAACACTGGCCAGAAGTGGACGTGTCTCAGACAGGACGAATAGTGTTGGTCGAGTTTTTTAGTGCTAGTTGAAGCAAAATTTTTGCATTAAAATGTATCGCAAGTCGGATTTATCGTTAATCAATGCCATCGTTGGTCGAGGGTCCACTGTATACCTTTCTTCTTTCAACACACCGGCCATATCCCACCAAGGCAGGATGGCCCAAAAGGAAAAACGAAAGCTTCTCCTTTTACATTTAGTAATATATACAGGAGAAGGGGTTACTAGCCCCTTGCTCCCGGCATTTTAGTTGCCTCTTACAACACGCATGGCTTACGGAGGAAGAATTCTGTTCCACTTCCCCATGGAGATAAGAGGAAATAAACAAGAACTAGAAAGAAAATAGGAGAAAACCCAGAGGGGTGCGTATATATATATGCTTGTACATGTATGTGTAGTGTGACCTAAGTGTAAGAAGAAGTAGCAAGACATACCTGTAATCTTGCACATTTATGAGACAGACAAAAGACACCAGCAATCCTACCATCATGTAAAACAATTACAGGCTTTCGTTTTACACTCACTTGGCAGAATGGTAGTACCCCCCTGGATGGTTGCTGTCTACCAACCTACTACCTACACTAAATATACCTATTATGTATAAATTTCTTGCCCATATGTTAAAGGAGTGGACTAAAAGCATATAGCCTCTAGTGCTACAAATTCATATTTTTAAGTAACATGCATGGAAATGAAGCAAACATATTCTTCAGCATTGCAAGAGATTTGTCATAATTCAACAGGTGCAACCTAAGCATACATTCACACTTAAGATTTCCCAGGAGCCAAATTTGGCATCACATTATTACGGAGGGATTGTCTCCTTGTTCCACTTACCAAGGAACCAAGCAAGACTGCTCACTCTGTAAAGGTTTCCCTGCTGAGAGAGAAACAGCTGGAAGCCTGAGGCTGATTGCTCTCTCTCTCTCTCCTCTTTGTTGTTTCCCTGTAATGAGCGCTGGCCAATGAACTTGCTGCCGACACACCTTACATGTAGTTCTATTGCTACGTGGATTTGTAGCAATTTCCAATCGATATAATTTTTTTTTTTTTTTTTTTTTTTTTTTGCAAAAATAATAACGTATCCTTAAAGCAAATAATGTCCTCAAGATTGCACTAGGTACCTTTAGTGTTGTGAAAGTTAAGTTTACGAATATATGACAAGGCTTGACAAAAATTCTTTTTCAGTATTCATACATTATCGTTCATAACCCAAAAGAATAATCTAAAGTACCAATTAGCATGAGAGTGCTCTTACATCTGTCATGGCAGTATATGAAGCCAGTGTCAGCAGCAATGCACAGCTTGTTTTGTGTGTGTCACCATTTAAGAAGCTTTCCAGATTTTGTATCCATTGTTTATTTACAGTAAAATTAAATACACATGTCATTGATTATATTATACAATGTCTTTGATATGCACACTTATATTTGGGATCTTAAGTGCATTTGCAAGTTGAAATGTGCAATGTTTCACTATATCCATAGACAACTTACAAATGTTATTAATATCTTGTTAACAGTGTTTATTTATGAGCTCATTTATCTACTTCATTACACCTTCTCATAGTTATGGCTGCTCAAGCCCTAAATTTTTTTTTACATGATTTAAGTCTTGGAGATTACTGCGAGCCATGAACTTGACAGTAACACACTACTGGCTTAAATGTAAACATATGCCATGAACTTCTGCTTACAACCAAGATTGATCAATCAGGCCAAAAGGTCCATCATAGCACAAATCATTGACAGTCTCCTTGCAATATATGTACCACCGTTGTGTGTGAATTCTTAATACATCATGTCTGCCCACTTTTCTTTGGTCTGTCCTTTACTGTATGCATTTTTTTTTAATTACAACTACAACTGGAATCACCACAAGACCTTCATGCAGGTGCCCTATACACTATAAACTCATTTTTTCATTCTGGTTGACTCCCTCAGCATTACTGCCACTCTCTCTCTCAGCTCAGCATATGAATTTTAGTTTATAACCATCAACTTTGTGTTAATATAATTCACATGTGTAACCTAATTTAGTCATTATATTTTTTCCTTACAGATTTATTATTTGTACAGTATAAAGATTTATGATTAACAAAATTGAATGTCTTTAAAAATAACCAAATTATAGACTTTACTTGAAATCAACTTCCTAATAGATAGCTGTCATTTTAGTCAGGTGCTGCACTTAGTCCCTTGAAATCAGAAGCAGCCTGAAGAACAGCATCTTCCATATTCAAGTTAACAAATACAATATTTACATCAGTTTAACACTGGAAGATTGTATAACATACATCTGACCTTCATAGCAAAACATCCAGGGAGAGAGCACAAGTATCAAAAAGTATAAATCCTAAAGTGGGAAGGCAGACAGCAACACATTCACACTTTAACTCTTCTTGGGGATCATGCATTTAGACTTACTTTTGCTTGGTCTGACGCATGAACTGCTGGATTTTGCGAGCAGCTTGGTGCTGCCTCCGTTGGGAGTATGTGCGCCTGAAAATACATTAGTTTTACATTTTTTTGGAATGAATTATTTTGTAGACCAAATGCATACAGTAGCAAGGGGCTAGTAACCTCTTCTCTGTATAAATTACTAAATTTTAAAAGAAAATCTTTCTTTTTTCTTTTTGGGTCACCCTGCCTTGGTGGGATATGACCAGTGTGTTAAAAAAAAATACATATACAACCTCAACAATTCAGAAATCTATATTCTACAAATTCCCATATCCTAGAACAATCTGAACTTTTTATTTTAGTAAAAAATTAATGTCAAAAAGCTATTTTTAAGTAATATACCTAAAGCATTAGGTTTAGGGACTGGTAGAAGCTGTATCCCACAGTGCCTCTTGGATGAGTTTAGTCTTTCCTTCATTATATCATTGCTTTTTGCCTTTACACTGGTAGCCAAAAAGCTTTCAAAATCAACTGACAAGTGTGTTGGTGTAATGAGAAAACACATATGCTAACCATTATGAACATTCTTGAGTTAGCTATATAATATTAAACAGCAATGAGAAAATCTAATGAATTCTATGCTGTACCTGGTTTTAGCAATATTATTGCTAAGCTAAGAACACTATTGGATTTGACTGACAGACCTCAAGGAACCATTATATGAGAGGATTAAGTTATGTTGCAGTGAATGTACGTATTATATTCACAAGGAAGCGCTCAACTCAAGAGGTCACACAGTGCCTGGGAATGGAGATAATCAGATCTGATCTGAGGAAAGTGTGTTCCAATTCCACAAATTAAAAACCCTTCACTGGTACCAAGGCATCCCTTAGCATCAAGAAAGACAAATTTAAAATATCTTAGTTACCTGTTCATTTATATAAACCTGAAAATTCCACAATTTGGAAACTGCTTTCCCAAGGAGTGCTATATACAAAAAATCAGGAAAAGCCAGAAAGGTGTATATGGAGCAGTGATGTACATTAGCCCTTTCAATGTCCATCACAGATCTATTGTACTGACACCAGGGTCTCTCATGTACATCTAAGTCTTGAGCTCACATCATTCAGTTAAGCACAGAGGGGTAAATTTTTGACTAGATAAGAAATTGGGTCTGTGTGGTGAGTGTGCACAGTATAAGAAAAAGAAAATCCTGCCCCACGTGGTGCATGAACTTGCGTTTAGTTTAAAATAATGAATTTGAGGTGTTTTCTAGGATGGTTTTTATAGTTTTATTGGCTGTTTCTTGGTATCATTTGACAGAATGCAAGATATACTACTGAAATAATACAACTGGAAGTAGCTTAAAATTGGCTTCAAAGTAATAGAAATATTACATTTTTGCTGATTTTCCAGTAGATGACTAAGGTCCCCTACACTCCCTGGACTGTTTTATGGTTTTTTAATAGGTCTCATTCAATATTGGGGGCCCCATAAACTATGAACAATCATTCCGGGTTATATTTTATTATCTGAGAAATAGGGTAAATTGTTACTTTTGGTGATGATGCATTCAAATTGGAAGGCAAGTGTAATATAGGAGAGTTCTGGAGATGTGATTAATGAAGAGAGGAAATGATGTTTTAGCACCTAGAATGTCTACAGTGTTTATTTTGGACTTTCTTCTTAAATTAGAATTTTTTAAATTTTGTGTAAAATTGGCCATGTAATCAGTCCCTCAGTGTAGCAGCATGTTTTGTCAACCACTGGTTAGCAAAATGTCTAAATAAATACCCAGTCACTGCACACGTCTAAATTTTTCAATTTGTCAATATTATATACCAGTGATGTTATGAAACTGACTTTCAAGAAATGGCTAGATGGATATACATTTAAAATTAAAGAGACAGATGCACACTATGAAGACAGGACACTATGGTAAGACTCTTAAAATTTACTGTTTTTTTGTGAAATGAGTGTCATAAGAGGCAACTAAAATGCCGGGAGCAATGGACTAGTAGCCCCTTCTCCTGTATACATTATTCTTTTTAGGTCACCCTGCCTTGGTGGGTTACAGCCGATTTGTTGAAAAAAAAAATTAAAAAAAAAAAGGGAAATGTTAAATGAGACATGAGTGGCCTACACGGGATAATTATTATGCGTTTTTCTGGAGCAAATATAGTATATAAAGCTATTAGTACAGACAAATTTAGGAAGATAGTATATTACCAAACTGCAAATTAAGGTAAAACTAAAGATAATGTAAGAAAAATGTATAGAGGAGTCAAAACAGAGTGTGTTTGCAAGAATCCATTAATTATGAATTTTGGGTAGGTGAGATAAAAATAATACAAGCAGACAAAATGAGTTGTTAAACTGCCAGCAAGTAAAACATAACCCAGATAAACTACCCAAACATTGGCAATGTATCCATTTACCTAAATTGAACTCTAGAAGTAAATCACTGGAAGCTGTCAGAAGAGAACTTTGCATATTGTGCAACAAGAAAACAATGTGTTTATAACAGATAATAATGAGTGGGAACCAGTCTCACACTAATAAATCGACTTGGAAAGTGGCATCATGTGGTACAAGCTGGCATGGCCCCTAAAAGTTCATCAGCTTCGTAAAGCAAACACTCGTGAAGAAATGAAGAAATTACAAATTAGTTGTGTTTTGTTTAGCTTAGAATAAACTTATAGTAAACATTCTTATTTTACTTTCTTCAGAGGGTTTTATCAATTAAGAGACAGACAGGAATGTTTGTATTCCTGTGTGGCTACACTTATAGAGTAATTACAAGGAAATATTTAATACATTTTATCCTTAGTGTTATTTGAAAATATATACAAGTAAACTATGATATTCCAGAGAAAATACATGAAGAAGGGTACTTACTTTAAAGTTGGAATAGGGGTAGTTTCCCGTGATCCCCTCAGTGAGAAGTTAACATTGGAGTGTGCACCTCCTTCCAAACTCTTTTTAAAGCGCTTGTGTTCACAGTAAGATCTAAACTGATTTTGAATTAATGTTGCAGCTCGACTCATTTGCCTGAAGTATACATACTGAAAAATGGACATAAATTTCTGAGAAGTTTTTATTTAAAATATTCCTATAACTATACTAATACATAACAGCATTCTTGAAAATTCTGACATTCCTAAAGAGAGAATTTCATGTATATATTTGTATAAATAGTAGTAGTAGGTAGTAGGTTGGTAGACAGCAACCACCCAGGGAAGTACTACCGTCCTGCCACATGACTGTGAAACAGAAACGTGTAACTGTTTTGCATGATGGTAGGATTGCTGGTTTCTTTTTCTGTCTCATAAACACGCTAGATAACAGGGATATCTTGCTACTCCTACTTACACTTTGGTCACACTTCACAGACATGCACATGCATATATATATATATACATCTAGGCTTTTCTCCTTTTTCTAAATAGCTCTTGTTCCTCTTTATTTCTTCTATTGTCCATGGGGAAGTGGAAAAGAATCTTTCCTCCGTAAGCCATGCGTGTCGTATGAGGCGACTAAAATGCTGGGAGCAATGGGCTAGTAACCCCTTCTCCTGTAGACATTTACTAAAAAAGAGAAGAAGAAAACTTTATAAAACTGGGATGCTTAAATGTGCGTGGATGTAGTGTGGATGACAAGAAACAGATGATTGCTGATGTTATGAATGAAAAGAAGTTGGTTGTCCTGGCCCTAAGCGAAACAAAGCTGAAGGGGGTAGGGGATTTTCGGTGGGGGGAAATAAATGGGATTAAATCTGGAGTATCTGAGAGAGTTAGAGCAAAGGAAGGGGTAGTAGTAATGTTGAATGATCAGTTATGGAAGGAGAAAAGAGAATATGAATGTGTAAATTCAAGAATTATGTGGATTAAAGCAAAGGTTGGATGCGAGAAGTGGGTCATAATAAGCGTGTATGCACCTGGAGACGAGAGGAATGCAAAGGAGAGAGAGAGATTTTGGGAGATGTTAAGTGAATGTATAGGAGCCTTTGAACCAAGTGAGAGAGTAATTGTGGTAGGGGACCTGAATGCTAAAGTAGGAGAAACTTTTAGAGAGGGTGTGGTAGGTAAGTTTGGGGTGCCAGGTGTAAATGATAATGGGAGCCCTTTGATTGAACTTTGTATAGAAAGGGGTTTAGTTATAGGTAATACATATTTTAAGAAAAAGAGGATAAATAAGTATACAAGATATGATGTAGGGCAAAATGACAGTAGTTTGTTGGATTATGTATTGGTAGATAAAAGACTGTTGAGTAGACTTCAGGATGTACATGTTTATAGAGGGGCCACAGATATATCAGATCACTTTCTAGTTGTAGCTACACTGAGAGTAAAAGGTAGATGGGATACAAGGAGAATAGAAGCATCAGGGAAGAGAGAGGTGAAGGTTTACAAACTAAAAGAGGAGGCAGTTAGGGTAAGATATAAACAGCTATTGGAGGATATATGGGCTAATGAGAGCATAGGCAATGGGGTCGAAGAGGTATGGGGTAGGTTTAAAAATGTAGTGTTAGAGTGTTCAGCAGAAGTTTGTGGTTACATGAAAGTGGGTGCAGGAGGGAAGAGGAGCGATTGGTGAAATGATGATGTGAAGAGAGTAGTAAGGGAGAAAAAGTTAGCATATGAGAAGTTTTTACCAAGTAGAAGTGATGCAAGGAGGGAAGAGTATATGGAGAAAAAGAGAGAGGTTAAGAGAGTGGTGAAGCAATGTAAAAAGAGAGCAAATGAGAGAGTGGGTGAGATGTTATCAACAAATTTTGTTTGAAAATAAGAAAAAGTTTTGGAGTGAGATTAACAAGTTAAGAAAGCCTAGAGAACAAATGGATTTGTCAGTTAAAAATAGGAGAGGAGAGTTATTAAATGGAGAGTTAGAGGTATTGGGAAGATGGAGGGAATATTTTGAGGAATTGTTAAATGTTGATGAAGATAGGGAACTGTGATTTTGTGTATAGGGCAAGGAGGAACAACATCTTGTAGGAGTGAGGAAGAGCCAGTTGTGAGTGTGGGGGAAGTTCGTGAGGCAGTAGGTAAAATGAAAGGGGGTAGGTAAGGCAGCCGGGATTGATGGGATAAAGATAGAAATGTTAAAAGCAGGTGGGGATATAGTTTTGGAGTGGTTGGTGCAATTATTTAATAAATGTATGGAAGAGGGTAAGGTACCTAGGGATTGGCAGAGAGCATGCATAGTTCCTTTGTATAAAGGCAAAGGGGATAAAAGAGAGTGCAAAAATTATAGGGGGATAAGTCTGTTGAGTGTAGGTAGTAGGTTGGTAGACAGCAACCACCCAGGGAGGTACTACCGTCCTGCCAAGTGAGTGTAAAACGAAAGCCTGTAATTGTTTTACATGATGGTAGGATTGCTGGTGTCTTTTGTCTGTCTCATAAATATGCAAGATTACAGGTAAGTCTTGCTACTTCTACTTACACTTAGGTCACACTACACATACATGTACAAGCATATATATACACACCCCTCTGGGTTTTCTTCTATTTTCTTTCTAATTCTTGTTCTTGTTTATTTCCTCTTATCTCCATGGGGAAGTGGAACAGAATTCTTCCTCTGTAAGCCATGTGTGTCGTAAGAGGCGACTAAAATGCCGGGAGCAAGGGGCTAGTAACCCCTTCTCCTGTATATATTACTAAATTTAAAAGGAGAAACTTCATTTTTTTCTTTTGGGCCACCCCACCTCAGTGGGATACGGCTGGTACGTTGAAAGAAGAAGAAGTCTGTTGAGTATTACTGGCAAAGTGTATGGTAGAGTTATTATTGAAAGAATTAAGAGTAAGACGGAGAATAGGATTGCAGATGAACAAGGAGGCTTTAGGAAAGGTAGGGGGTGTGTGGACCAGGTGTTTACAGTGAAACATATAAGTGAACAGTATTTAGATAAGGCTAAAGAGGTCTTTGTGGCATTTATGGATTTGGAAAAGGCGTATGACAGGGTGGATAGGGGGGCAATGTGGCAGATGTTGCAGGTGTATGGTGTAGGAGGTAGGTTACTGAAAGCAGTGAAGAGTTTTTACGAGGATAGTGAGGCTCAAGTTAGAGTATGTAGGAAAGAGGGAAATTATTTCCCAGTAAAAGTAGGCCTTAGACAAGGATGTGTGATGTCACCGTGGCTGTTTAATATAGATGGGGTTGTAAGAGAAGTAAATGCGAGGGTCTTGGCAAGAGGCGTGGAGTTAAAAGATAAAGAATCACACATAAAGTGAGAGTTGTCACAGTTGCTCTTTGCTGATGACACTGTGCTCTTGGGAGATTCTGAAGAGAAGTTGCAGAGATTGGTGGATGAATTTGGTAGGGTGTGCAAAAGAAGAAAATTGAAAGTGAATACAGGAAAGAGTAAGGTTATGAGGATAACAAAAAGATTAGGTGATGAAAGATTGGATATCAGATTGGAGGGAGAGAGTATGGAGGAGGTGAATGTATTCAGATATTTGGGAGTGGACGTGTCAGCGGATGGGTCTATGAAAGATGAGGTGAATCATAGAATTGATGAGGGGAAAAAGTTGAGTGGTGCACTTAGGAGTCTGTGGAGACAAAGAACTTTGTCCTTGGAGGCAAAGAGGGGAATGTATGAGAGTATAGTTTTACCAACGCTCTTATATGGGTGTGAAGCATGGGTGATGAATGTTGCAGCGAGGAGAAGGCTGGAGGCAGTGGAGATGTCATGTCTGAGAGCAATGTGTGGTGTGAATATAATGCAGAGAATTCGTAGTTTGGAAGTTAGGAGGAGGTGCGGGATTACCAAAACTGTTGTCCAGAGGGCTGAGGAAGGGTTGTTGAGGTGGTTCGGACATGTGGAGAGAATGGAGCGAAACAGAATAACTTCAAGAGTGTATCAGTCTGTAGTGGAAGGAAGGCGGGGTAGGGGTCGGCCTAGGAAAGGTTGGAGGGAGGGGGTAAAGGAGGTTTTGTGTGCGAGGGGCTTGGACTTCCAGCAGGCATGCGTGAGCGTGTTTGATAGGAGTGAATGGAGACAAATGGTTTTTAATACTTGACGTGCTGTTGGAGTGTGAGCAAAGTAACATTTATGAAGGGGTTCAGGGAAACCGGCAGGCCGGACTTGAGTCCTAGAGATGGGAAGTACAGTGCCTGCACTCTGAAGGAGGGGTGTTAATGTTGCAGTTTAAAAACTGTAGTGTAAAGCACCCTTCTGGCAAGACAGTGATGGAGTGAATGATGGTGAAAGTTTTTCTTTTTCGGGCCACCCTGCCTTGGTGGGAGTCGGCCAGTGTGATAAAAAAAAAAAAAATATTTGTATAAAAGTTTCTATTCCACTTTGTTGTTTCTATGAGTGGTATTATAATGAAATTTAATGTTTAGAATTGTTTTGAAAATAAATAATAAAATAAAGCATAACATACAATCCTGTATGACTTGAAGGATGAAAAATAAAAATAAAAGCAAACTGACTTAGTATACAAAAACAAAAGCATGCTGGCCTAAGGCAGACCTTCAGAGAAACGAAATGATAAAATACTGTAAGCAACAGGCATAAAGAAAATAAGACACTTGCAACATAATGAAAATGTAATACCAAAAAAACTCATACCTAATAAAAGACAATAAAGAACGGTTCAACATTAGACACTGGAAAGCCATGTAGTATATTTTAACTGAACAGACAATATTTTAGGTATCTTCTGGCCAATCAGTTTCCTGGCACTGTAACACATCATATAACTTGCCCTTACTTGTACCCAGTGGCAGACCTACATTTCTGGGGCCCTGAAGCTTGACCTGTTATGGTGGCCCCTTCTCATACAGTAGACCCAATATTTTTAAGCAATGTAGACTAAAGTCACTTCTGGGGCCCCTCCAGGATTAGGGACCCTGAAGCTTAAGCTTCATTAGTTTCGTAGTAGATCCACCCTTGCCTAACAACAAGTACTTCTGACAACACAGCAGTGTTTGTGGTAGCCATTTTACTCTGACTTTGATGAGGCCCAAAAGTCATCATAAAACAGTGGACCCAGGTCATTAAAAATATTAAGAGAAATGGAAAGAGCCTAATATTCTTTGAAATACATACTTAATTTACCTGTTTATAACGCCTATAATAATTCTGAATGACAATAGCAGCTTGTCTCTCCTTATCTTGCTCTTGTAGTCGCTTACGGCCTTTGTAAAGCCTGTATGCCTTTTGGATTGTTTTGGCAGCCTCATATAATTCCCTTTGTTCACGGTCTGGAATAAATGAGAAGGATAAATAAACAGTGAAAAGGGAAAATAAAAACTTTCAAAAAACTTTACTTAAATAAATGTACCAAGACCTAGGTAGTAGGTTGGTAGACAGCAACTGCCCAGGGAGGTACTACCATCCTGCCAAGTGAGTGTAAAACAGAAGCCTGTAATTGTTTTGCATGATGGTAAGATTGCTGGTGTCTATTTTTTTCTGTCTCATTAACACGCAAGATTTCAGGTACATCTTGCTACTTCTACTTACAGTTAGGTCACACTACATATACATGTACAAGGATATATATACAAACATCCCTCTGGGTTTTCTTCTATTTTCTTACTAGTTCTTGTTCTTGTTTATTTCCTCTTATCTCCATGGGGAAGTGGAACAGAATTCTTCATCCGTAAGCCATGCGTGTCATAAGAGGTGACTAAAATGCTGGAAGCAAAGGGCTAGTAACTCCTTCTGTACATATTACTAAATTTAAAAGGAGAAACTTTAGTTTTTTCTTTTTGGACCACCCTGCCTCGGTGTGATAAAGCTGGTTTGTTGAAGGAGAAGAACAAGAATGTATGTACTAGGTCTCTCATTTTATGCTGCAATGCAACTGCATTTCAGGCTTAATCATACCAACTGCATATGATGAATTTATATCACATATACAGAACAACTGATCAGAAAAGGACATTGCATAATAGTGAGTATGCATAAAGCAAGGGGAAAGCCTATACAGGAAGGCCCCGCTTTACGGCGTTTCACTTTACGGCGTTCCGCTAATACGGACATTTCAAATTATGACCAAAACTCACTATACGGCTCCCCCCACCTGACTTTCTAATACGGTCACCGTGCCCCACCCTGTTTGTTTACATTCTCCATGAGCTCAGTAAGCACTAAGTCTCTCCATTTTGTCTGGAAACTCCAAAATTTCAAATGTTTTTAAAAGTTATTTCATATTTTATATATACTCTGATAATTATACTTATGTATACCTGTACCTAAATAAACTTACATACATCGAGTCATTTAAATGTCGTATATTACTTTAATATACACATTTTCATTAATCCATCCATGATATTTTTTTCAAAATTATATAATAAACACGATGCATAACATATAAATAAGATAAATACACCCCACAGTAGAATAAATAAACATAAATGTGAGATGTGAGCAGACGACTTCCACAAGTGACGCCATAATAACAATACTCACCGAGTCTCATTAAATGTCGTATATTACGGTAATATACACATTTTCATTAATCCATCCATGATATTTTTTTCAAAATTATATAATAAACACGATGCATAACATATAAATAAGATAAATACACCCCACAGTAGAATAAATAAACATAAATGTGAGATGTGAGCAGACGACTTCCACAAGTGACGCCATAATAACAATACTCACCGAGTCTCATTAAATGTCGTATATTACGGTAATATACACATTTTCATTAATCCATCCATGATATTTTTTTCAAAATTATATAATAAACACGATGCATAACATATAAATAAGATAAATACACCCCACAGTAGAATAAATAAACAAATGTGAGATGTGAGCAGACGACTTGCACAAGTGGTGATAATAACAATACTCGCCGAGTCTCATTAAATGTCGTATATTTACGGTAATATACACATTTTCATTAATCCATCCATGATATTTTTTTCAAAATTATATAATAAACACGATGCATAACATATAAATAAGATAAATACACCCCACAGTAGAATAAATAAACATAAATGTGAGATGTGGTAGCAGACGACTTGCACAAGTGGTGATAATAACAATACTCACCGAGTCTCATTAAATGTCGTATATTGCGGTAATATACACATTTTCATTAATCCAGCCATGATATTTTTTTCAAAATTATATAATAAACACGATACGTAACATAAAAAGATGATAAATACACCCCACAATAGAATAAATAAACATAAATATAAGATGTGGGAGCCTGGTTTGTTTACATAACTCTGCGCCTGTTACCTCTCATGTACTCATTCTCTCTCTCATTTATTCGTTTTATCTCATTTACTTACTCCTGACCCTACATTAAGACTACAAATATTTTAAGGTAAGTAATGAGTGAACTGTATATACATTTTATCGCTCTGGGATGCTTAAATATCATAGAATAGTATGTGTGGGTGGGGTGGCCTGGCGAGGTAGCCTGGCTATTACAATACATACCACACTTGATTTCTTACAATAAATACTACTTGTCTCACCCTAGATTAAGACTATAAATATTTTAAGGTAAGTAATGAGTGCACTATGTGTGTATTGTACCTTTTTATTGTTTTTTGATGCCTGGTTCTATTGCTAACTTAATATATGTTAGTGTAAACTTGTTATCTAGTGTTTGTATGCATTTATAAGTGGAAAAAAAGGGTGTTCCACTTTACGGCGATTTCCGCTTTACGGCGGTAGCCTGGAACCTAACCTGCCGTATAAGTGGGGCCCTCCTGTACTTAATCCAGACCTAACCTTATAATTGAAAAAAAAAAATCTTGTATCCCTTAATACAAATGGCATGTGCTTCCTACTTCATTAAAGCTAATACAGTAAAACCTCTAATTAACAAATGCCAATTAATGGATTTCAGAAATTAGGAACAAGTCTCATATCAGGAGACGGGAGAGTGAAAGGGTTAAAGGCTGATGCATCTTATGAAATGTACGAAATATTTTTGGATTTAGGCTGTGTGGGTGCAGTTTTTCAGATTTATTAAAAAAAAGAGTTAAAATATTTCTTTTCATGACATAACCAAATTCCCATACATTTGGCACATGCCTGTATTTTGTATGTACAGCTGGTTCATGTTCCACATAATTTGGTCAAGAATTCTTTTTATGTTGCTTGAGAGCTAATAACTGAGGCAACTGTAATATTTTTTTCTCAGCTGTTACTTTGTCAGTAGCATCTATTTCTGGTATATGGTCATCAGATGTAGGTGTGATAGGTACCATTTTGTTTAATAAAATTTTATCAAGAAATGTGGAACTTTTAAAATGATTTTTGAAAGTTTTTTTTAACCTCAATATTTCTTACCAAAACTAAAAGAGGTGGCAGTTAGGGTAAGATATAAACAACTATTGGAGGATAGATGGGCTAATGAGAGCATAGGCAATGGGGTCGAAGAGGTATGGGGTAGGTTTAAAAATGTAGTGTTGGAGTGTTCAGCAGAAGTTTGTGGTTACAGGAAAGTGGGTGCAGGAGGGAAGAGGAGCGATTGGTGGAATGATGATGTAAAGAGAGTAGTAAGGGAGAAAAAGTTAGCATATGAGAAGTTTTTACAAAGTAGAAGTGATGCAAGGAGGGAAGAGTATATGGAGAAAAAGAGAGAGGTTAAGAGAGTGGTGAAGCAATGTAAAAAGAGAGCAAATGAGAGAGTGGGTGAGATGTTATCAACAAATTTTGTTGAAAATAAGAAAAAGTTTTGGAGTGAGATTAACAAGTTAAGGAAGCCTAGAGAACAAATGGATTTGTCAGTTAAAAATAGGAGAGGAGAGTTATTAAATGGAGAGTTAGAGGTACTGGGAAGATGGAGGGAATATTTTGAGGAATTGTTAAATGTTGATGAAGATAGGGAAGCTGTGATTTTGTGTATAGGGCAAGGAGGAATAACATCTTGTAGGAGTGAGGAAGAGCCAGTTGTGAGTGTGGGGGAAGTTCGTGAGGGAGTAGGTAAAATGAAAGGGGGTAAGGCAGCCAGGATTGATGGGATAAAGATAGAAATGTTAAAAGCAGGTGGGGATATAGTTTTGGAGTGGTTGGTGCAATTATTTAATAAATGAATGGAAGAGGGTAAGGTACCTAGGGATTGGCAGAGAGCATTCATAGTTCCTTTGTGTAAAGGCAAAGGGGACAAAAGAGAGTGCAAAAATTAAAAGGGGATAAGTTTGTTGTAGTAGTAGGTTGGTAGACAGCAACCACCCAGGGAAGTACTACCGTCCTGCCAGATGACTGTGAAACAGAAACCTGTAACTGTTTTGCATGATGGTAGGATTGCTGGTTTCTTTTTCTGTCTCATAAACACGCTAGATAACAGGGATATCTTGCTACTCCTACTTACACTTTGGTCCCACTTCACAGACACGCACATGCATATATATATATATACATACATCTAGGTTTTTGAAAGATCTAGGTTTTTCTCCTTTTTCTAAATAGCTCTTGTTCTTCTTTATTTCTTCTATTGTCCATGGGGAAGTGGAAAAGAATCTTTCCTCCGTAAGCCATGCGTGTCGTATGAGGCGACTAAAATGCCAGGAGCAATGGGCTAGTAACCCCTTCTCCTGTAGACATTTACTAAAAAAGAGAAAAAGAAAAACTTCATAAAACTGGGATGCTTGAATGTAGTGCGGATGACAAGAAACAGATGATTGCTGATGTTATGAATGAAAAGAAGTTGGATGTCCTGGCCCTAAGCAAAACAAAGCTGAAGGGGGTAGGGGAGTTTTGGTGGGGGGAAATAAATGGGATTAAATCTGGAGTATCTGAGAGAGTTAGAGCAAAGGAAGGGGTAGCAGTAATGTTGAAGGATCAGTTATGGAAGGAGAAAAGAGAATATGAATGTGTAAATTCAAGAATTATGTGGATTAAAGTAAAGGTTGGATGCGAAAAGTGGGTCATAGTAAGCGTGTATGCACCTGGAGAAGAGAGGAATGTAGAGGAGAGAGAGAGATTTTGGGAGATGTTAAGTGAATGTATAGGAGCCTTTGAACCAAGTGAGAGAGTAATTGTGGTAGGGGACCTGAATGCTAAAGTAGGAGAAACTTTTAGAGAGGGTGTGGTAGGTAAGTTTGGGGTGCCAGGTGTAAATGATAATGGGAGCCCTTTGATTGAACTTTGTATAGAAAGGGGTTTAGTTATAGGTAATACATATTTTAAGAAAAAGAGGATAAATAAGTATACAAGATATGATGTAGGGCAAAATGACAGTAGTTTGTTGGATTATGTATTGGTAGATAAAAGACTGTTGAGTAGACTTCAGGATGTACATGTTTATAGAGGGGCCACGGATATATCAGATCACTTTCTAGTTGTAGCTACACTGAGAGTAAAAGGTAGATGGGATACAAGGAGAATAGAAGCATCAGGGAAGAGAAAGGTGAAGGTTTATAAACTAAAAGAGGAGGCAGTTAGGGTAAGATATAAACAGCTATTGGAGGATAGATGGGCTAATGAGAGTATAGGCAATGGGGTCGAAGAGGTATGGGGTAGGTTTAAAATTGTAATGTTAGAGTGTTCAGCAGAAGTTTGTGGTTACAGGAAAGTGGGTGCGGGAGGGAAGAGGAGCGATTGGTGGAATGATGATGTAAAGAGAGTAGTAAGGGAGAAAAAGTTAGCATATGAGAAGTTTTTACAAAGTAGAAGTGATGCAAGGAGGGAAGAGTATATGGAGAAAAAGAGAGAGGTTAAGAGAGTGGTGAAGCAATGTAAAAAGAGAGCAAATGAGAGAGTGGGCGAGATGTTATCAACAAATTTTGTTGAAAATAAGAAAAAGTTTTGGAGTGAGATTAACAAGTTAAGGAAGCCTAGAGAACAAATGGATTTGTCAGTTAAAAATAGGAGAGGAGAGTTATTAAATGGAGAGTTAGAGGTATTGGGAAGATGGAGGGAATATTTGAGGAATTGTTAAATGTTGATGAAGATAGGGAAGCTGTGATTTCGTGTATAGGGCAAGGAGGAATAACATCTTGTAGGAGTGAGGAAGAGCCAGTTGTGAGTGAGGGGAAGTTCGTGAGGCAGTAGGTAAAATGAAAGGGGGTAAGGCAGCTGGGATTGATGGGATAAAGATAGAAATGTTAAAAGCAGGTGGGGATATAGTTTTGGAGTGGTTGGTGCAATTATTTAATAAATGTATGGATGAGGGTAAGGTACCTAGGGATTGGCAGAGAGCATGCATAGTTCCTTTGTATAAAGGCAAAGGGGACAAAAGAGCGTGCAAAAATTATAGGGGGATAAGTCTGTTGAGTATACCTGGTAAAGTGTATGGTAGAGTTATTATTGAAAGAATTAAGAGTAAGACGGAGAATAGGATAGCAGATGAACAAGGAGGCTTTAGGAAAGGTAGGGGGTGTGTGGACCAGGTGTTTACAGTGAAACACATAAGTGAACAGTATTTAGATAAGGCTAAAGAGGTCTTTGTGGCATTTATGGATTTGGAAAAGGCATATGACAGGGTGGATAGGGAGGCAATGTGGCAGATGTTACAGGTGTATGGTGTAGGAGGTAGGTTACTGAAAGCAGTGAAGAGTTTTTACGAGGATAGTGAGGCTCAAGTTAGAGTATGTAGGAAAGAGGGAAATTATTTCCCAGTAAAAGTAGGCCTTAGACAAAGATGTGTGATGTCACCGGGGTTGTTTAATATATTTATAGATGGGGTTGTAAGAGAAGTAAATGCGAGGGTCTTGGCAAGAGGCGTGGAGTTAAAAGATAAAGAATTGCACATAAAGTGGGAGTTGTCACAGCTGCTCTTTGCTGATGACACTGTGCTCTTTGGAGATTCTGAAGAGAAGTTGCAGAGATTGGTGGATGAATTTGGTAGGGTGTGCAAAAGAAGAAAATTAAAAGTGAATACAGGAAAGAGTACGGTTATGAGGATAACAAAAGGTGATGAAAGATTGGATATCAGATTGGAAGAAGAGGGTATGGAGGAGGTGAATGTATTCAGATATTTGGGAGTGGACGTGTCAGCGGATGGGTCTATGAAAGATGAGGTGAATCATAGAATTGATGAGGGGAAAAGGGTGAGTGGTGCACTTAGGAGTCTGTGGAGACAAAGAACTTTGTCCTTGGAGGCAAAGAGGGGAATGTATGAGAGTATAGTTCTACCAACGCTCTTATATGAGTGTGAAGATGTCGTGTCTGAGGGCAATGTGTGGTGTGAATATAATGCAGAAAATTCGTAGTTTGGAAGTTAGGAGGAGGTGCGGGATTACCAAAACTGTTGTCCAGAGGGCTGAGGAAGGGTTGTTGAGATGGTTCGGACATGTAGAGAGAATGGAGCGAAACAGAATGACTTCAAGAGTGTATCAGTCTGTAGTGGAAGGAAGGCGGGGTAGGGTCGGCCTAGGAAAGGTTGGAGGGAGGGGGTAAAGGAGGTTTTGTGTGCGAGGGGCTTGGACTTCCAGCAGGCATGCGTGAGCGTGTTTGATAGGAGTGAATGGAGACAAATGGTTTTTAATACTTGACGTGCTGTTGGAGTGTGAGCAAAGTAACATTTATGAAGGGGTTCAGGGAAACCGGCAGGCCGGACTTGAGTCCTGGAGATGGGAAGTACAGTGCCTGCACTCTGAAGGAGGGGTGTTAATGTTGCAGTTTAAAAACTGTAGTGTAAAGCACCCTTCTGGCAAGACAGTGATGGAGTGAATGATGGTGAAAGTTTTTCTTTTTCGGGCCACCCTGCCTTGGTGGGAATCGGCCAGTGTGATAATAATAATAAAATAATTTCTTACCAAGGCAAGGTATTACTTTTATTAGTTATCATATTTTTCTAAGCTTTATTTGGATCAAATATACTGATGGATGGAATGAAAATACTCATAATGACATGTTTTATCAAGTTAGTTTCTACCTCACTTCATTAATTGCAGATAATCAAGCACCCACTGCATCTAGCATAATTCTTCCTTATTTCAAGTTATCAATATATCTTATTCTAGTTTTACTATAAAATATTAAAAAATAGTCTTACCTGATAGTGTGAGATTAGAAAAATCTCTAGAAAAGTCCCGGGTGGAGGCATGAAAAAATTCGGAGAAGTCAGCTGTAGTGGGTGGAGGCGAGGGACTTTCCAGTGTGAAAGAGGCGGGCGATGGTAGACAGCTAGAAGAAGCGGGGCTCATTGATGAACTGGGTGTCCCAACATCAATGTATCTGATAAAAAGACATATTACATAAGGTTGAAGTTAATGGTTAGTGTTGCTTAGAATTTCTGTGTATGGGTTCTGATAAAGCACTCAGAATGCATTCTAACACTTATACAGCAGGGCCCTGCTTTATGGTGTTTCGCCTTACAAGGTTCCACTAATACAGATATTTCAAATTATGACCAAAACTTGGTGTATGGCTCTCCCACTTGACTTTCTAATAAAATCATCATGCCCCACCCAGTTTCTTTACATTCTCCGTGAGCTCTGTGAGCATCGAGTCCCTCCATTATGTCTGGAAACTTTTCAAAATTTTGAGTGTTTTACAGTTATTTCATGTTTTATATACATGTATATGTACTCTGAAAATTATACTTATGTGTACCTGTACCTTAATTAACTTACACACTGTGCTGGCATGCAGGTACACATTAAAATCACTAAGAGTGTCTTTATTAGTCTTGAGGATGCCATATTAATAATGATAATAATAATCACTCTGAGGAGCATTAAATGTCGTATATTACATTAATATAAACATTTTCATTAATCTATGATATTTTTTTCAAAATTATAAAATAAAAACACTACATAACATATAAACATGATAAATACATCCCACAGCAGAATAAATAACACAAATATGAGATGTTAGATGTAGATGAACGTGTATGAACCAAAACCAGACGCGTTCATCTGGTTGTTTACATACTATGCATCTCTCTCCTCTCTCATTTACTCATTCTCTCTCTCCTTTATTCATATTACCTCATTTATTCACCTCTCACCCTATATTAAGACTACAAATATTTTAAGGCAAGTAATGAGTGTATTGTATACACATTTTATCGCTCTAGGGCGCTTTAAATATTGTAGTATATTACGTGTGGGTGGGGTGGGTTGGGTGGCTACCATACCTCCCCCACCTGACTTCCTACAAAAAAATACTACTCACCTCTCACCCTACATTAAGACTACAAATATTTTAAGGTAAGCAATGAGTGTACTGTGTATTTTACATTTTATTGTTTTTAATGCTTAGTTCTACTGATAACATAATATATGTTAGTATAAACTTGTTATCTGGCATTTATATACATTTATAAGTGGAAAAAATGGAGTTCTGCTTTCCAGCGATGTCCGCTTTTCAGCAGTAGCCTGGAACCTAACCTGCCGTATAAGTGGGGCCCTACTGTACTTCCTAAATGACCAATTTCAGGCCTTCTACCATTTTAACTCAGTTCTCTTTTCCTTGTTTTCTACTGAATGATAATTTTCTATGTCAGTTTGGGAACTTTTTACATACTGGGAGCCCAGTTTTAAAACCAACAAGTCAGACCAAAACGTCGTCGTAGCTCCTCTCGCCTATGTACGGGTTATTTGTGTGTTCCAATCAGGGTATTGTGCTTTTTTGTTCTTCACTGCCAGTTGAGTAATGTACAGTACCTTTCTTACTTTTTTCCATTATATCACTGAAGGATCTCAAATTGGTTTTGGACAAACAAAAGCCAATTATGGTGATATAAACCACTAACTTCCATGTACTCACGTTCTGAGTTTGAAACAGTACTGAGCAAATTAAAACTCTTATAGTACTGTCATGTTAATTTATAAGGGATGGAGAACCTTCTTAACAGATACACTGGTGTGTTTCACATCAACTTTCTAGACCGAGCCCTCACTTCAGTGTCATCCATACAGGAGGCCTGGTCATGGACCAGGCAGCAATGGTGTTGATCCCCGGAATACCCTCCAGGTAAGTAGGTAGGTACATGTGGGCAGCATCAGTGTATGACATTTCAACATGTACTCTTCGTTGGTAATAAATGGTATAAAATACCAACATGCATTATACTGCATTTGTGTTTATTTTTAATTTTATTATTATAACTGTTTGACCAGTTAATCACTAATGAACATAGCTATGTGGAACAATTTCCTGATGCAGTATAACATACATGGAATATGATGGGACAGATTCATTTTCATCCCATTAAATTTGTGTGCCCTCCCTCACCCAAAACAAAAACAAAATACAGGGAACACATGTAAAGAGTCTGTGGAATTTGTTCATATTTGAGAAATGTACCCTTGCAAAGTGCCTGTGAGAAAAAGCTGCAGTCAGCTGCTTGGGTCATTAAATTTCCTAAATTACAGTAATTACATTACTAGTACATAATTATTGGGAATACAGTATTAAATTTCATTAAGTTCTCAGAGAAGATACTTGTACAGACTTGGGGAAAGATGTCAGGGTATTTTAAGCCCTGACATTCTTTTAACTCACGAGAGAATTGAATGAAGAAGCACTTTTGTTTACCGCATTGCTGGTTATTTCTTTTTATATTCTTGGGAAAGCTCTGAATCATAACAGTCATACAACACCCAGAAATGGAAAATAATCTGGTTGATTGTGTACAAGCTATTTATTCATGGAGCACTGTATCAAATTACTCACATATCTCCACCAAAAAACACCCATTTTAAACATTTGTTCCTTACCTATATGATGTAATATCAGAAAATTCAAAGTTGAACTCTGGTGTTGTATCTGGTGGTTCATCCAATATGACTTCCATATCCAAATCTGAAGATGGTGGATCAGTAGAAACTGGGCTGGATTCTAGCTGCATCAGTTCTTCTCCATCACTCTGTGAGGTCAAGTTTCAATCGTCATAAGTTCCCCTTAACATATACTGAGTAAACCATAGACAGGTAGTGTAGGTAATCTATAAGAATACCCACATTCAACACATTGAAAATAACACACGTTTGCAATACAATTAAAGACCCTTTCCTGACAATTAAGTACATCTAGCTAAACTAAAAAACTGACATTTTTTCATGCTGTTAAAAGTACTATTGTATAACATTCACTTATAATGAAAACTAATTTATTTCAAATATGATATTCTCTTTTCTAACCCCAAATGAGAAGTAACAGCTTTACTTCAGTGATAACTAGACAATAATTCAGTGCTTTATTGTTTTGTAAATACTGCTCTGTCTTGTCTTGTAATAAAATGATTGCATACAAATCACAGAATGGATGGGGTTTGAACCAATGGCGAGTCATAAAACTCCAGGACAGTGTGGATTAATTGGATTTCCATTATTTCTTATGGGGAAAATTAATTCAGAATAAGTTAGATTCGGGATAAGTCACTCTCTGGAACAGATTAATTACATAACCTGGAGGTCCACCGTATATTGAAAAACTTAATAGGAACAATGGCAATGACATAAGATACCCAAGATTCAATGAGAAAATGATACAATATTAATAATTAGATGACCAAAGATGTGGTAACCTACTGATTATATTTTCGTTTTAAATGTGCTGGCTGTCTCCCACCAAGGCAGGGTGATGTGTTTAATAAAAAAAAAACATTAATTTATAAGGATAATACCTTTATTCTCTCAGGAAGAGCAGCAATAATTTGTTCAGCCAAAGTTAGGACTCGACTATCATCAGGAGTAGCCAAACCCGCCATCTCCGAGCTGAGTGACTCCCTCCGGCTGGCATAACTGCTGTCCACTCCTGTTGTTCAAAGGCATATTTAGCTAATGAAAGATTAAAAAGAATTAAATGTAAAGCATTTTTATTAGCTAGATAAACTAAAGGAACTAAATGTAATTAATTTTAATTAGGTAGAAAAACTATTATTAAATAATAGCAGAATAAAATACAAAACCGGGTGGAATGAAATAAAAGGAGTACCCCAAGAGTACTGAAAGTTTAGTGGTCCAAGAGGCCTGTGTATGTGAAATTCAATTTTGCCAAGACAATGGTGTCTGTTGAACAGCATAAAGTGTTTCTCATGCATGATACCAAGCTACTGAGTAACCATGATTGGTAATTTCAGTAACCAAGTTGGAAAGGGCTCTGACAGTACCATACATGTTTGGGTCTCCATGACTGAAAGAAGTATCCCCAGCTGTCAATAACCCTAGTTATATTCTATTAGTCATTGAATAAATTCTTTCCCTGCCTTTACCTCTACTTTTCCAATCTTCGATGGTGAAAGGATGTGTGTCATAAGGAATGTGGGAATGTATTGGAGATATATGAGAATGGGCTTATGAGTGTGGGAATGGCACAAAGGAGAGCAGGTGAGAGTTAGTTGATGAAGGGATAAGAAAGTAAGATGGGAGGTATGTATATTAGGTGTGAGAGTAATTAAAGTATTGGAGAGCGAGGAAAAATTGTAGTAGGTACTGAGTTGTAGGCATGTATGAATGAGTTGTACGGTTGTGGTAGTTGAGTTGTAGGGATATGTAAGTGAGCTGAAGGGATGAGGGAGTTGTAAGGGTGCAGGTGAAAATTAAAGGGTGGCACAAGTAGTAAGAGTGTGGGAGTAAGTTGTGACAAGTGCGAATAAGCTGTAATGGCATGAAAGATGAACAGCAGTTGCAGAAGCTGGAGCTCAACCCTCAAATACATATAGGTTATTAGTAGATCAAAAAGTTGAAGTTCAACTGCTGTAAACATGTCTAGGCAGATGCATAGTATTGCTAGGAGCTGGAACTCAGTACCAGGATGATACTAGCAAATTTTTAAGAAGCACTAAATGATGCAAATTTACTTGACTTGGACGCAAACACAGATTCAAACAAATTCAAATGACGTGAATATATCACAGGGAAGCACTTAACCTGTAGGGCTCATACAACACCTGGGGAATGAAGGTAATCATATCAGACCTGGGAAAGGAGAGGGTAGCTCCAACTCCTTGAATCAAGCACCCTTCACCAGCATCAAGGAACTTCCTTGAGGTTCAAATGACATGGAATATAAAACTGATTTTATCTTTGTTTACCTACTTGTTGATCTGTCGACAGCACTAGACCACAATCACATTCAACCTTTACCACCATTTTTTGTTCCAGTTATTATGCTTTTCTATAATTTTATAGGCAAGTACAAACAGGAAGTGCATCTGTCTCATACTCACCCGACAGAGGATCAACCTTCCATCACTTCTTGCACTGAATGACCCACATTGGTTTAGCATTTAAATGATAATTAATTAAAATAATAGGCAGGAATACATGCCATCAGCTCAATGAAATCCATTAGTTAAAGGGTTAAGAATAACTGTTTTTCAAATGTTCATTTTACTTGACCCTTTCAGGGTTTTGGACGTACTAGTACGGCTTACGCACTAGGGTTTTTAACGTACTAGTACGCCTAAATTCTAGCGTCCTCAAATCTAGTGAGAGAAGGCTGGTAGGCTTACATATGAAGGAATGGGTCTATGTGGTCAGTGTGCGCAGTAAAAAAAAATATCCTGCAGCACACAGTGCGTAATGAGAAAAAAAAACTTTGACAGTGTTTTTGGTTTAAAACAGCAACTTTGCACTGTATTTTCGTATGGTATTTATGATGGTATTCTAGTTTTCCTGGTCTCATTTTATAAAAGGGAAGACATATTACAGAAATTGAGATTATTTTGATTGGTTTTACAATGAAAAGTACCTTGAAATTGAGCTCAAAGTAGCAGGAATATTCGATTTTTGCCAAAGTTCAAAAGTAAACAAATCATGCTACGCGTCTAATACACGTCAACTGACGAGTCTAATATTCTTTCACAAATGCGCTGATATTATTTATACCATTTCTACACTAATGCGGTAGTCTGCATAACAGTAAATCTTCTATTTCTTGTGAGAATAAAAATTCAAAGTGGAAAGCAAAAGAATGTAAGAGGGCCATGGGGACGTGACTAATGAACAGAGGAAATGTTATTTTAGTGCCAAGAATGTCTTTCTTGTTTATTCTGGACCCTATTTGGAAATTGGCATCTTTTGAAATTTGTGTGAAACTGGCAAAATTGCTAAATTCTGACCACTATATTGGATAGTTGAAATCGGTAAATGGGTGGTTTCTTGTATTCATTCGATAGAAAAAATGGAGTTCAAGCGAAATAGTTATGATTCTTGTCGACTAGTACATTGGAATTGGCCGAAAATAGGGCGCAAAGTGGGCAAAATGGCCGATGCTTAAACATCGTTGAGACCGCTAACTTTGCGAGAGAATAATTCCATAAGTTTTCCATTAAATTTCATACTTTTGGTGTCATTATGATTGGGAAAAGATTCTCTTATCTTTTCATAAGATTTTTTTTTTTTTTTTTTTTTGAAAATTTGGCGACCCTGAGAACAAGTCTCGGAGAGAGCCAGGAGACCCTGAAAGGGTTAAAAGAACACTTTTGTAAAGTCTTTGGGGTCACTGGTAATAGTATCAATAACTTAAAAAATTAGCAATAATTTATTTTGCTTTTTGCATTAACACTGAAGCTCCTCATTTATACATGTTATACATGCATTTTTCTAAAAGCTCCAGGGAAAATTATTCTCTTCTCATACATAGATACACAAGCTCACAGTACCTAATGACAAATGGTGAATGAATAAACTTAGCCATATTTCTGTGTTATTTAACCTAGACATTACAAATAATTCTGATAATTTCATGAGCTTCAACATAATCATATGCGTAATGTCATGAAAAAGCTGGACAATTTCTTCTCTACAGTAGGAACAATTATCATAAAATGAAAGTTATAATATTAACAAGTTCATGACTAAGACATGTGCAAGGCTTGGGTAACTTTGCTGAAAGATTTTCTGCTGGTGCAGCAAGATTTGTTAATCTAATACAGAGGCATGAAAACAGAGAATTTTTATACTGTAGCCAGTAGAAGTGGCGAGTTGCAGCAGTTTAAACCATAAAGAATAAAAAAGCACAATAGTGGGACCGGAACAATATACTAACCCTTAAACTGTCTAAACGTAGATCTACATTCACCTGCGTGGTGCTCCGAATATTTTAAAAATAAAAAATAATAATTTTTTTTTTTAAATTAAAGAGGGCAATTTTCTGTGTGGTATAAGATCAAAAAAAAAAATTTAGGACCAGTACTTACTGAGATACAAGACCATGAAGTTGGCTCTAGATGCTCACCTGACGGAAACATCCAGTCCTGCCACTTGCAGAAGTGTTGCCGATTTATCTTTTTTTCTTGTTTTTATTTTAATATATATAAATTTTATGTTCTAATAATTACAATTTATAATAGTTCTTGTGATTTCATAGCCAATCTTTGTTCTGACACTAATATTATGTACTGAAATAGTACTCAAATAGTAACAATCACACCGACAGGTGAACATTTTCACCCGCCTGGGTCATTTACTATTGTCTAGAAATATATACAAAGTATTTATATGTCTTTGCAATGTTTTAGACATGCTGGAATATATATGAAACTCCTTGAAGAATGGTGTTATGACAAGCGTGAGATAACCGGTGACAGCCAGTGACATTTGATGAATGTGATCTGCTGCAGGGAACCCTCGCTTTATACACAAACATGTCTGTTTGTCTATCTGTCTATCTGTCTGTTTGTCTCTGTTAGTTTTTAGTTTATGAACCGCTCCCTGATTGCTGAGCAAGTGACACTGCTATTACCTGCATCATGTTTATTTATGTCTTAGATCTACAAACAATGTATAGCACTTTGCCTGGAATTTTTGGGTTATCCAAAGTAATTTACACTATGTATAATAACTGTACTTATATGTACATGTGAGAGACAGAGACAGACAGAGATATAGACAGATAGAGATATAGACAGATACAGACAGAGGCAGCCAAAGCCAGCCAGCCAGCTGGCCAGTCTGCCAAATACATAAGAACATAAGAAAGAAGGAACACTGCAGCAGGCCTACTGGCCCATGTAAGGCAGGTCCAATTGACCCACCTAGTCAGGTCATATCCACTGAAGGAAGGAGCACAGCATTTGACCTAGTAACACAAGCTAGTCAGGTCCAACTCACACCCACCCACACCCACTCATGTATTTATCTAACCTATTTTTACTTTCCTCTTAAAATGGGATTGTTAATATGACATGATATCAGTGAATCCCTGGTGTTTGCCATGCTATTTGCTTTAGTTGGTGCTCAATTAAACTGGTGCTCCCACAAGGTACTAAGGTGTCCCCGATTTTTTTTCATTCTGTGCACACTGAGTGCGCTGACCTATTCTTTCATGTCTAGGTGACTCAGGCCTATTGCACCAAATCTGAAGGAATGAAAAATCAAACAATCTACGTTCGGAGTGCTGCACACGTGCACGTAGATCTACGTGTGGACAGTTTAAGGGTTAATAAGCCACACATAGGAGACTGAAACTTATGACAGACATTTCAGTCTGACTTGAACCATTAACTAATCACACAGAAGCACAAAGTGAAGGGAGCTAAAATATATACAAAATGGGGGAGAAGGGACAGGAGTAGTATAATGACAAGAAGGAATATTTCCTCCTCTCATTATACTACTCCCATTCCCACTCCCTTTCATATATGTATATTTTGGCTCCCTTCACTTCTCTCTTCTGTGTGACTAGTTAATTGCCTAAGATGGACTGAAACATAGTCACAAGTTTCAGTCTATGTGCAATTTACATGTGTAAAGTTAAGGCCATGGTCACATGTGGGTAGGGTCCACTAGCTATGTAGGTCATGCCCATAAGGTGGGCCAGAGATTTAGTGAAATGTTAAATTAAGTGACCCATATGAGTTTAGGGCTCCACATGAATATAATAATTTCACATCAGCTATTTCCCACCAAGGTTGGGTGAAGAAGAAACATTCACCATCAATCATCCAATACTGTGGTTGTTTAACCAGAAGTACACAGATCTCATAATTTAAATGATTCTGAAGTGCAACATCCCCATTACCTATCCACCCTTAAGAGTGGATAGGTAATGGCATGAGATACAGTGGACCCTCGATAATTGTAAGGCTCGACAGTCGTAATTTTCGGAAATCGTAACGCTATTTTCGTCAAAACATTGGCTCGCAAATCGTCGTTTGACTCGCAAATAGTCGTCCGTCCCGGACGTGTACACATGGCTCTGAGCCACCTCGCCCTCCCTTCCCAGCCAGTGTGCCATTTTTACCAGTGAGTGACGGCCCCCTCACTTGTTCATACAAAATATTTCATAATATTCCATTCATTTTAGTGCTTGCAACTGCTAAATAAGCTACCATGGCTCCAAAGAAAGCTCCTAGTGCCAGGCCTTTGGTAAAGGTGAGAAATACAATTGAATTAAAGAAAAACATCATTGAACAATATGAAAGTGGCGTATATGTGGCTGAACTGGCCAGGATGTATAAGAAACCCCATACAACCATAGCTTCCATCGTGGCCAAGAAAAAGGAAATCAAGGAAGCTGTTGTTGCAAAGCGGGTAAATATGCTGACAAAAATGAGATCACCAGTACTCGAAGATGTTGAGAAGTTATTATTGGCGTGGATAAACGAGAAACAATTAGCAGGAGATAGCCTTATGCAGTCGCTTATTTGTGAAAAGGCTAGGCAGTTGCATGATGATCTCGTAAAGAAATTGTCTGCAACGAGTACTGATATTTGTGAATTTAAGGCCAGCAAAGGCTGGTTTGAGAGATTTAAGAACCATAGTGGCATACACAGTGTGATAAGGCAAGGCGAGGCTGCTAGTTCAGACAAAATTGTAGCTACAAAATTCTAAAGTGAATTCAAGGAGTACATAGAGGCTGAAGGATTGAAACCTGAACAAGTATTCAATTGTGACGAAACAGGCCTCTTTTGAAAGAAAATGCCAAAGAGGACCTATATTACTCAGGAGGAAAAGAGACTGCCAGGACACAAGCCTATGAAAGACAGGCTGACGCTCATGTTCTGTGCTAATGCTAGTGGGGATTTCGAAGTGAAGCCGTTACTAGTGCACCATTCTGAAAATCCCAGTGTTCAGGAAAAACAATGTTATGAAGAGTAAATTGTGTGTGTTTTGGAAAGCTAGTAATAAGGCATGGGTCACGAGGGAAATTTTCGTCGAGTGGTTCATTGAAGTGTTTGGCCCTAGTGTGAAGAATTACCTCCTGGAAAAGAAATTGGATCACAAGTGCCTCCTGCTAATGGATGACCTAATTCTGGAGGAGTTTGGGTTCAACACAGTAAAGTTCTTGCCCCCTAATACCACTCTTCTCCTCCACCCCATGGACCAGCAGATTATTTCAAACTTTAAAAAACTCTACACCAAAGCAATGTTTCAAAGGTGCTTTAATGTGACCTCAAACACTCACTTGACCCTAAGAGAGTTTTGGAAAGATCACTTCAGTATCCTTCATTGCATAAACCTTATAGGTAAGGCTTGGGAGGGAGTGACTACCAGGACTTTGAACTCTGCTTGGAGAAAATTGTGGCCAGATTGTGTCCACAAGAGGGATTTTGAAGGGTTTGGGACTGACCCTGATGAGCCTATGACAGTTGTGAAATTTATTGTGACATTGGGGAGTTCCATGGGGTAAGATGTGAGTTTGGAGGATGTGGAAGAGTTGGTGGAGGACCACAAAGAAGAGCTAACCACTGAGGAGCTGCAAGAGCTTCAGCAAAGGAAGAGGGAGAGAGATGGAAGAAGTTGCCTTCTTCAGAAATTAAGGAAATTTTTGAAATGTGGGGTAGGATGGAAAGATTTATGGAGAAACATCGCCCTGACAAGGCTGTTGCAAGCCATATCGGCAACTTGTACAGTGAAAGTCTTGGCCCATTTTAGGGAAGTTTTAAAGAGACGCCAGAAACAGCTCTCTGGACAAGTATTTAGTGCCACAGGTGTACAGTGACTCTCAAGCTGGTCCTAGTGGCATTAAGAAACAGAGAAGAGAAGTAACCCCAGAAAAGGACTTGGTACCTGAGGTGTTGATGGAAGGGGATTCCCCTTCCAAACATTAACTAATCCAATCTCTCTTCTCCTCCAGTCGTCCATACACTAAGAAGAATCACCAATAAAGGTAAGTGTTATGCTGTTAATGTTTCATTCATCATGTCCCATTTATTGTGTATGTACTACATCTACATTTCATGTAAAAAAATTTTTTGTTTTAATACTTCTGGGTGTCCTAGGTAGTAGGTTGGTAGACAGCAGCAGCCCACGGAGGTACTACCGTCCTGCCAAGTGAGTGTAAAACGAAAGCCTGTAATTGTTTTACATGATGGTAGGATTGCTGGTGTCCATTTTTCTGTCTCATAAACATGCAAGATTTTAGGTACATCTTGCTACTTCTACTTACACTTAGGTCATACTACACATACATGTACAAGCATATATATACACACTCCTCTGGGTTTTCTTCTATTTTCTTTCTAGTTCTTGATCTTGTTTATTTCCTCTTATCTCCATGGGGAAGTGGAACAGAATTCTTCCTCCGTAAGCTATGCGTGTTGTAAGAGGCAACTAAAATGCTGGGAGCAAGGGGCTCGTAACCCCTTCTCCTGTATATATTACTAAATTTAAAACGAGAAACTTCTGTTTTTCTTTTTGGGCCACCCCATCTCAGTGGGATACGGCTGGTGCATTGAAAGAAAGAAGAAGACTTCTGGGTGTCAGGAACGGATTAATTGTATTTACATTATTTCTTATGGGGAAAATGGATTCGAATATCGTCAATTTCGATAATAGTCACACTTCCAAGAACGGATTAATTACGAAAAACGAGGACCCACTGTACTGACAATATGGTCAAGAAAGACAAATGAAGCAGAATGGAATCCTTTATTGACAAATTTTTGCCAACACAGTATGCTTAATAATGAGCCTTGATATAGCATGCTGTGTGGATAAAATGTCATCAATAAAGTATACCATAATTCTGCATTTCTCTCTCTTTACCATCATTATATTAATAACTTACAAATAAGCAAGTAGATGAGTGAAACACATAAGCAACAGTTCAATATCTTTATTAAGCAACCAGAATGTCTCATCAATAAAGTTACCAAAACTGCTGCACATGTACTTTCCACCTCCAGAACTCTATGTCTGGATAACCAGTTTTCCCTGAATTTATATTTTTTGGAGTAAAACAAGTAGCAAAGCTTAACTAGGTGCAAAACATAATAGTTGGTTATTCTGGCTTTTCAAATTGATGTGATTTCTGCTAAGAAATTAATGCAAAATATTTAAAATTTTTAGCTCAATGTTAAAAAAAAGAAAAAAAAAAAGTAAAATAGTTTCACGTTATCATTTTCAATTGCTAGAATCTGGTTAGTATGAAGTCAGTCAACTTTAGCAAGAGAGAACTACCATTAAATTAGTATTCAATGCCAGAACCAAATGTTATTGTCCAGCGCCACTATTACATGCCACTGCAGAGTGTCACCGTCAAGTGACATTGTTCAGCATCCTTGTCAAATGCTGCTGTCAAGTGCCACTGTTGAATGCTACTGCTGAGATGCCAGCAAAATAAATACATAATCAAATATGAGGGTTAATATTTGAGCCATAATGAAGTATCAGAGTCAGCTGTCTGTGTTAAGACAGCCCAACTGTCATAGCTGACTAGTACATTTCACCACTTTTAACTATGCAAATATGAAACTTATAACTGTGGCATACAAAATTAGTGGAAGAAGTATATCACAAGTCAGAAAAGTAACCAAGGGAGGGAAAACAACACAAAACAGCAGAATTCCTTACGTGTGTGCGTGTGGCTTACCTTTGAGGGAAGAGTGCTCCTCCTCGTCTCCCTCTGTCTGGAGCTGGCAGCTTCCACCTGTGACAACCACTCCACTTGCATTACTAGAGCACACTATCCTCATTACTCTATGACACCTTCCCACACTCGTATACTCAAAAAAGGATACACCATCATTTGAAATATTAAAAAAGAGCTTACCTTTGAAATACCAAGGAAGCGACTTAACACCTCTGAGATATCATAATTTTGTCTATCCTCAAAGCTAAGAATTAAGAATATCTTGTATTTAAAAAATGTATGTGCTTCATGAATTGTACTAAAAAATATTTTGGAACAAGCAAAAAAGGGGAATTAATCCTACATTAATAAGAGGTGTAAGACATGCAATAACACAAAATTTTTTAGTTTCAAATAGCTTAAAAAATAACATGCCAAAGGAAATACAAAGATATCTTCATTGGCAGTCATATCAATATTCTATATTGCAAAAGCCACAGGGAAGAGAAATGAAGCAAACCTCATGACAATATCTATTTTTGAAGGATTTTCACAAAATAAGCATTTTATTTCCTTTTTGAAAATAACTATATAATAAACTTTTTTGAGGCTTATTTAAAGTATTCTCAACTATAATAAATCAAAAAGAAATAAAAACTAACCTGGATTAAACTGGAAGGGCATGGGTGAGTCTAAAATATCTTCACCATGATTGTCTAGAACTAAGGAGGGTGTCGACATTTGTGGACTGGCACCATCACCCCTGCAATAAACATTACCACATATTACTGGCAATAAGACAAGGTTTCAACTAAATATGTATGCCCAGAGTAATACTCCCTGCCATCTTATGAGCACAAAACACACACACACACACACACACACACACACACACACATACACACACACACACACACACACACACACACACACACACACACAAAAAAAAAAAGTAATCAGTCTTACATTACTGCATGTTCTGTTAATTGCCACCATCTTGTCAATGCCAGGCTAACGGGTGCATTGGCCCCAAGCAAGTAACTGAATCCTAACTGCTGTGAGACTATCAGTATGTTTTGCAAATAATTTTTTTTTTTTTTTTTTTTTTTTTTCCAACAAGTCGGTCGTCTCCCACCGAGGCAGGGTGACCCAAAAAAGAAAGAAAATCCCCAAAAAGAAAATACTTTCATCATCATTCAACACTTTCACCACACTCACACATTATCACTGCTTTTGCAGAGGTGCTCAGAATACAACAGCTTAAAAGCATATACGTATAAAGATACACAACATATCCCTCCAAACTGCCAATATCCCAAACCACTCCTTTAAAGTGCAGGCATTGTACTTCCCATTTCCAGGACTCAAGTCCGACTATATGAAAATAACCGGTTTCCCTGAATCCCTTCACTAAATATTACCCTGCTCACACTCCAACAGATCGTCAGATCCCAAGTATCATTCGTCTCCATTCACTCCTATCTAACACGCTCATGCACGCTTGCTGGAAGTCCAAGCCCCTCGCCCACAAAACCTCCTTTACCCCCTCTTTCCAACCCTTTCGAGGATGACCCCTACCCCTCTTTCCTTCCCCTATAGATTTATATGCTTTCCATGTCATTCTATTTTGATCCATTCTCTCTAAATGACCAAACCACCTCAACAACCCCTCTTCTGCCCTCTGACTAATGCTTTTATTAACTCCACACCTTCTCCTAATTTCCACACTCCGAATTTTCTGCATAATATTTACACCACACATTGCCCTTAGACAGGACATCTCCACTGCCTCCCACCGTCTCCTCGCTGCTGCATTTACCACCCAAGCTTCACATCCATATAAGAGTGTTGGTACTACTATACTTTCATACATTCCCTTCTTTGCCTCCATAGATAACGTTTTTTGACTCCACATATACCTCAGTGCACCACTCACCTTTTTTCCCTCATCAATTCTATGATTAACCTCATCCTTCATAAATCCATCTGCCGACACATCAACTCCCAAGTATCTGAAAACATTCACTTCTTCCATACTCCTCCTCCCCAATTTGATATCCAATTTTTCTTTATCTAAATCATTTGATACCCTCATCACCTTACTCTTTTCTATGTTCACTTTCAACTTTCTACCTTTACACACATTCTCAAACTCATCCACTAACCATTGCAATTTTTCTTTAGAATCTCCCATAAGCACAGTATCATCAGCAAAAAGTAACTGTGTCAATTCCCATTTTGAATTTGATTCCCCATAATTTAATCCCACCCCTCTCCCGAACACCCTAGCATTTACTTTTTACAACCCCATCTATAAATATATTAAACAACCATGGTGACATTACACATCCCTGTCTAAGACCTACTTTTACCGGGAAGTATTCTCCCTCTCTTCTACACACCCTAACCTGAGCCTCACTATCCTCATAAAAGCTCTTTACAGCATTTAGTAACTTACCACCTATTCCATAAACTTGCAACATCTGCCACATTGCTCCTCTATCCACTCTATCATATGGCTTTTCTAAATCCATAAATGCAATAAAAACTTCCCTACCTTTATCTAAATACTGTTCACATATATGCTTCAATGTAAACACTTGATCTACACATCCCCTACCCACTCTGAAGCCTCCTTGCTCATCCGCAATTCTACATTCTGTCTTACCTCTAATTCTTTCAATTATAACCCTACCGTATACTTTTCCTGGTATACTCAGTAAACTTATTCCTCTATAATTTTTACAATCTCTTTTGTCCCCTTTCCCTTTATATAAAGGGACTATACATGCTCTCCGCCAATCCCTAGGTACCGTCCCCTCTTTCATACATTTATTAAACAAAAGTACCAACCACTCCAACACTATATCCCCCCCCTGCTTTTACCATTTCTGTCATGATCCCATCAGTTCCAGCAAATATAAACTATTTAATTCATGTAATAATTCTACACACATAAACAAAGTTGTAAATACTGTATTACTTAAAAATATAAAATTAGAGGAGAGATACAGTATCGTCTTCTAGTGTTGGTAATGATGATGCTGAAAATTTTGAACACAATCAATGTGATAATGACCCATATGATCCACAGCCTACACAGGTAAATGAACCCTTTAACCCTTTGACTGTCGCGGCCGTATATATACGTCTTACGAGGTACCGTGTTTGACGTATATATACTCAAATTCTAGCGGGTTCAAATCAAGCAGGAGAAAGCTGGTAGGCCCACCTGTGAGAGAATGGGTCTGTGTGGTCAGTGTGCACCATATAAAAAAAATCCTGGAGCACGCAGTGCATAATGAGAAAAAAAGAACTCCGACCGTTTTTTTTAATTAAAATGCCGACTTTGTGGTCTATTTTCATATAGGATTTATGGTTGTATTCTCCTTTTCTTGGTCTCATTTGATAGAATGGAAAACATATTATAGAAATAGAGGTGATTTTGATTGATTTTACTATAAAAAGAACCTGGAAATGGAGCTCAAAGTAGGGGAAATGTTTGATTTTTGCCAATGTTCAAAAGTAAACAAATGATGCCATTGTCCAATAAATGTCCAACTAGCCATTCTAATATGCAGTCATGAATGGGTTGATGTTATTTATACAATTATTACAGTATTGCAGTAGTCTGCATAATAGTAAGTCTTCTATTTCTTGTTTGAATAAAAATTCAAAGTAGAAAGCAAGAGTAATATCAGAGGGGCCTGGAGACATGACTGATGAGCAAAGAAAATGTTATTTTAGAGCCAGGAATGTCTGCATTGTTCATTCTGGACCTTATTTTGAAATTGTCATATTTTTTAGTTTTCGTGAAATTGGCCAAATTGCAAATTTCTGACCACATTATTAGGTAGTTGAAATCGGTAAATGGGCAGTTTCTTGTACTCAATCGATAGAAAAAAATGGAGTTCTAAAGAAATAGCTATGAGTTTGGGCAACTGGAACAATGGAATTAGCCGAAAATAGGGCTCAAAGTGGGTGAAATCGCCGATTTGTAAACAGCGCCAAGGTCGCTAACTTCGCGAGAGCATAATTCCGTCAGTTTTCCATCAAATTTCGTTTTTTTGGTGTCATTACAATCGGGAAAAGATTCTCTATTGTTTCATAAGAAAAAATAATTTTTTTTTTTAAATTTTGCGACACCAGGAGACACCTCAGGATTGGGGGTTGCGACAGTCGAAGGGTTAAAAGTGAACTTAATGATCCACCGAAGGTTTTTAAATAATGTAACAGTACTGTGCATCAATATGAATTTACAGTAAGAAATTCTTAATAAACCAGTAAACTACCATAGTTTGCATTTTGTGTTAACAACTGCCAATGACCATCTAAAGTACCATAAATACAAATACTCCAGGGTATCATTCAAACATTGATAATTTCTGTCAGTAAATAAAGACAGGAATGATGCATTGTGTAATTCATATACAAGCAAAACACTTTAGTATCCATATTACATGATTTTCCCTCCCATTTTTTTATTATGTTATAAACAAGTGAAGAGGAGGGAGAGAGAGAGCCATGTATAAACATTACAATGAGAGTGGCTGAGCCTCACACCCTTGTTTAATTTGTTACAAAATACAAATTTAACAGCCAAACTGATTTGCAATGCATAAACATTATGTACCATATTAATATTATATACCTCCTCCTTCACTAATGCTTATCAAACTGCAACACTTTATTGCCTCTACATACAAAATTACCTTGAATATTTTTGTAATACATCAAGGCCAGAATCTAAACTTGTTCGTTTGTAAGTGTCTACATTGGCTAAATTGATTCCTGAGTCAACAGAAGGTCTCTTGATGAGCCTTCCTCGTCGAAGTGAAGTATCACTCCAAGATGATGCTGGAGATGGACAGCCTACTGGCCGTCCTGAGTCCTGTTCACTGCTTAGGGGCAGATCTACACTTAGGTGCCGTTGTTTTCTGAAGTCACACCTGTAACAGATGAATATTTAATAACCCTTTAATTGACATCAGTCATGTGTGTAAGTGAAAATTATTTTAATAACATTTTAAAATAAACTATGAAAAGGAAAGGGTTATGAGTAGAACTGAAGGAGGGGTTATCATTATATTCTTGAGGAAGCACTAAACCCACCGGGGACACATAGTGCCAGGCAATTGGGAGGTAATAAGGCTCTATCCAAGGGAAGGTAACTCCAATTTATTGGAATAAGAATCCTTCACCAGTATCAATGAACTCCTTAAAGAAAAAGCATTTTTAAATGTGGCAGAGAGATTGCATGTAGGAAGAAGTGGATGTGTGAGTAATTGCTCTGAGTTCACTGTTAGAATACATCATGTTTGTGTAAAGTGCCCATGAGTGAATAAGAAAAGAACCTTGAACTATTAACCCTGTAACCCAGCATAACCCCAAAAAGAAACCAGTATGGCTTATTAAGTCTTTTGATCTTCCCCAGGATGCAACCCATAACTGTTGGCTAACACCTAGGTACTGTACCTATTGATTGCTAGATGACCAGAGGGCAATAGATGTAAGGAAAGACACCCAACATTTCCACCCACTCCATGATCAAACCTGGGTCATTCAACTGCAAGCCAAAGGTGCTGCTACCAAGCCATTAGCCAATCATTTAGATTATATACTTCATTTCTGGTTTCCATATTACAGAATTGATGACTCACGAAATCGTAATGACACGATTGCAAACAAACCATACCCCGGCCAGGATTGAACCCGCGGTCAGAGACGGGCTGGAGTTTTGAGACTCTCTGACCGCGGGTTCAATCACGGCCAGGGTATGGTTTACAGAATAGATATAAATGCATAGGAGAATATATAGAGAAGGATAACAAAGATTGACTGAGAGCTCTAAACTTACACTCTCTTGAAAGGCTTGAATGATGGGAGATACGACTGAGTTTTACAAGTGAAAGGCAGGTATACTGTAAATAAAGGAGATATAAATAGGGTGTAGATAATATCTAACCAAGAAACCTCTCAAAACAATAGATTCAAGTTATATAAATTTAAATTTACAAAAGATATAGGAAAGTACAGTAGGACCCCCGTATCCACGAAGGATACGTTCCAAGGACCTGCCGCGGATACCAAAACCACGGATAGTAGCAAACCCTACATATAAGTCCTATACATACCTGTTATTAAGTTTAATTTATAAATTATAGACAATGAGTAGAGAATTATCACTTTTTTCACTGATGGGAAGCATTTCGTGGCTTCTCTTATACTTTGAAGAACTGCTAGCTTTTCTACTGTTGTACTTTGGAGCCATTATTATGCAAAATTAAGAAATATTTTTGGGCCACAGTAAACTGTGGATAACTGAAACCATGGATACCAAATTAGTGGATACAGGGGTTCTACTGTATACTGGTTTGTCAACAGAGTTGCAGATGAGTGCAGCTCATTAAACAAATATATGAGAAACAATGGTTGGGTGTGAGAAAGACTTGCTTAGCATGGGCCTGTAGGCCTACTGTAGTGCTCCTCTCAGTTAAAATGAAAACACTATAGTACAGCATCTAATTGTTCTAATGAAATATAAAAACATTAAGCAAAAGATTAACAGATTAAAAAAAATGACACCAAACTGAATCAATGAATATTCACATTAATTCAAGCCACAGTTAGAATGTCTTTTTTTTTTTGTTAAAAAGGCAATCTGTATGTAACTTTTCCCTTATGGTACTACAGAGATAGTAATATGTATCAATTTATATAGTGTATATGTACTGTACATGTTCTACATATACCATAAATATTACCATTCACTAGAAAAGCTTTTTAAAATTATTAATGATCTGTTATTTTGACTGATTTACAAATATAGTATACGTGTATACTGTAAGCGTAGATGTACGTGTGTGTGTGCATGTATGAAACACACACAAGCTCACATACGTATTCACTCTAACTCACACTCTCACATTCTCTCACTCACACACTCTCACTCTTGCTCTCACACATTCTCTCACTCTCACTCTCACTCACACACACACAAGCACTCTCTCTTACACACTCTTTCTCTCTTCATATTTAAAATGAACAGCTTTCAAATGGATACATTTAATGAGAATGATTAATTAAAAGCTACATATTACCTGCGTGGCGAGGGTCGGAGGAACACATCGGGTGTTTGGTGAGCTGTTCCAGACAAGGTAAGTCCTGGACTGACACCAGACGAGGGAGAGGTTGAGGTTGAGGTGGTGGAAGAGGTAGAAAGCTGTGTGCTAGAGAAGGAAGAAGACAGAGAGAAATGGAGGCCTTCAATACTGTCCATATGTGCTCTTTGCCTGTCCAGCTGTTGCAATTCCTCTGCCAGTGTGTGGTGACCTGGTCAACATCAAAGGTTCAATCATTTTTTTTTTAAATGGTTACCCAACATTTATGTTTTTAAAATAATGATTATAATGATCATTGTTACTGAACCTATTATATATATATATATATATATTTTTTTTTTTTTCAACAAGTCGGTCGTCTCCCACCGAGGCAGGGTGACCCAAAAAAGAAAGAAAATCCCCAAAAAGAAAATACTTTCATCATCATTCAACACTTTCACCACACTCACACATTATCACTGCTTTTGCAGAGGTGCTCAGAATACAACAGTCTAGAAGCATACACATATAAAGATACACAACATATCCCTCCAAACTGCCAATATCCCAAACCCCTCCTTTAAAGTGCAGGCATTGTACTTCCCATTTCCAGGACTCAAGTCCGACTATATGAAAATAACCGGTTTCCCTGAATCCCTTCACTAAATATTACCCTGCTCACACTCCAACAGATCGTCAGGTCCCAAGTACCATTCGTCTCCATTCACTCCTATCTAACACGCTCGCGCACGCTTGCTGGAAGTCCAAGCCCCTTGCCCACAAAACCTCCTTTACCCCCTCTCTCCAACCCTTTCGAGGACGACCCCTACCTAGATTTATATTATATATATAGCTAGAGTAATAGTTGCAAGTACACAGAGAAATGCCCAGAAATAACAAAAAAAGGCACAATACCGTGACTGGAACGATACACAAATAACCCGCACATAAAAGAGAGAAGCTTACGACGACGTTTCGGTCCGACTTGGACCATTTACAAAGTCACACTAGTGTGACTTTGTAAATGGTCCAAGTCGGACCAAAACGTCGTCGTAAGCTTCTCTCTTTTATGTGCGGGTTGTGTATAAATGCCCAGAAATAATTAATAATGACAGGTGAATGCTAGGCTTCATAAGAAAGATACTGATTATGAAGTTCCATTAACTAAGCTCACATCCTACAGTGCTAATAAAGATACCTGATATTCTACAATAATATTAAGAAAAATGATGTACAAATATCCTATAATGCTATTGAAAAAACTAGTCAAATATGATGATACAGAGGTGATAAGCAATTCACCATTGAGAAATAACATGATGAAACGTGTGGAAAAAATATGCAACAATTACGGAACACTAACAAATTACCTTCTGACACTGAATAATGATACAATGCAAAACTAAGAAAACTACATAAATATTTCAAGGTTATAAATTTCAGCACAACTTCTCTCAAAGACAAGGCAGACAGATACAAGGTGAATTCACAAGGCTTTCTCAGTTATAGAATAGCCATGTGGTCGGACCAACAAATTCAACAAAAAAGGAAGAAAAGGAGAAAAAATTTTAATTAAAATGCTCAATCTGGTAATTCTAAATCCAAGAGGCATTTCATGATTAAGGAATTCCTACATACCATTAATAGTAGCACACTGTAAAGGTGTTTGCCCAAGCTGATTTTTTGAATGAAGTGCTTGTGAATTCCAGCGGTATAAGAGAAGAGCAGTATGGTGATGTCCACGAGAGCAAGCCCAGCTCAGCGGTGTACAACCACGAGAATCCTGCCGTAGCGCATCTACTTCACATTCTAACACAAGTGAAGGGTTCTCATCACGCCAACGTAATAGAGCCACAATTAACCTGTTTTTAGAATGAAAAAAGCTGTCAGCTAACATCAAAACAGTTTCATGCTTCTTAGTTACTTGATTTGAGCAAATTTTTGTGATCCAGGGCTGTTTTGCCATTTTGTTGTTGTTTCAATTTGTGTGTATAGTGATGTTTGGCTATATTCAGGCAATTTTCTACTCCAGAATCTCATATGCCAAATTTACACATTCTGGGACTAGATAAATTTGTTAACTGATGTATCATTCATTATGGAGTGCAAAAGTAATGTTCTTGATTTCAAAGTAGGTTTTTGTAATGTTAGTGATAAGAAAATTAGGTTAGTGGTCAATGGCCTCTCCTAATTAATTTGAAAAGACTGTGAATCTTGAGTCAACACTTGTGGAATGAGATGAACAATGAGAGCTAGAGAGGAATTCGCACATGGATTCAAAAAGCAAACATGATTGCAGAATCACAAGCTATTGGTAATTACATAATATTATTCCAAGATGATAATCTGTCTTCTAGGTAGTAGGTTGGTAGACAGCAACCGCCCAAGGAGGTACTACCGTCCTGCCAAGCGAGTGTAAAACGAAAGCCTGTAATTGTTTTACATGATGGTAGGATTGCTAGTGTCTTTTGTCTGTCTCATAAACATGCAAGATTTCAGGTATGTCTTGCTGCTTCTACTTATGCTTAGGTCACACTACACATACATGTACAAGCATATAGTATATACACACCCCTCTGGGTTTTCTTCTATTTTCTTACTAGTTCTTGTTCTTGTTTATTTCCTCTTGCCTCCATGGGGAAGTGGAACAGAATTCTTCCTCCGTAAGCCATGCGTGTTGTAGGAGGTGGCTAAAATGCCAGGAGCAGGGGGCTAGTAACCCCTTCTGTATATATTACTAAATGTAAAAGGAGAAACTTTTGTTTTTCCTTTTGGGCCACCCCACCTTGATGGGATACGGCTGGTGTATCGAAAGAAAGAAAAGATAATCTGTCCAGTCAGGCAAACTTTAAAACTGTACTAAATAGAATTAAACTAAATATCTGTAAAAAAAAAAAATGAAATAAAATAATTAGTGCAGTGCCTGCACTCTTGATTAGTGTAGTTTGATGGGTCATTTGAACTGTAATACCTGAACACTTCCAGAAAAAGTCACTGAATAAATAATGGTGAATGTATTCTTTCTAAAGTGTCTCAACCTTATTAGGAAACAGCCAAAGTTAAAAAAAAAAAGGAAGTAATACAAATATTATGTATCAAAGCAATAATGACCTGGAATATCCAAGCATGGCTGCTAAATGTAGGAGAGTGAGGCCATGTAATTCTGGTAAGCCTGCGGCAAACCCTTGGTCCATACTCAGCCACCGCTTTCCACTCATTCTCTGGCAATATAATATAACTCGCTCCTGTAAAGAAAATTATTTTTTTTTTTTTAGGTAACATGTAGCGAAATACTGAAACATAAGTTCTGTGATTTGTTTGCAATAGTATTATTGAGTTCCTATAAATTATGTAAAAATACTATGGACACTATTAATGTTTTATTAATCATTCTTGTTGTACTATGCAAATTTTTAGACTTAATTTAAATGCAAAGTATTAATTACAGAACAGAACTGTACTTCAAATTACAGAAATCATTAAAAATTTAAAAAGAAAATCAGTTTACCATAATACTGCACAGCAGCTCTCATACAGTACAATATATCCAAATTCCACATAACTTAAAGCTCTAGTTTAAAGAAGGATTTTTACTAGATCCTACGTATTTCCAGTTATACGTAAATCCTCAACTCACACAAGTGGTACACACACTTCTTCGTGGCTGCTTCAAGCCCTGGTCAAGGTCACAAAACCTTTTTTTTTTTTTTTTACAAAAAAAAATGAAGCAAATGCTTTATGCTATTTTTTTGCCAAATTTCATTGATATCACATGTTAACAGTCATTAAAAGCCCCAAAACAAACAGCTTCACTGATCCCTTTTGTTTTTTACTTACTTTCAGACCTATCTTTAAGAAGATAATCATAACATATGACAGCAATGAGGCCATAAACTAATCTAAATCATAACAGCAGTTGTTCATATCTCACTGAACTATATGTGTAAAAATGTAAACTGAGCAACTGATAACTTAAATCTATAGAGAAATACATATTACTGGAATTTTTATTTGATTTTTTTTTTTTTGTTATTAACCCTTTCAGGGTTTCCAACATACTAGTACGTTTTACGCACCAGGGTTATTGACGCAGTAGTATGCGTAAATTCTAGCGCCTTCAAATCTAGCGAGAGAAAGCTGGTAGGCCTACAAATGAAAGAATGGGTCTATGTGGTCAGTGTGCATAGTATTAAAAAAATCCTGCAGCACACAGTGTGTAATGAGAAAAAAAAAAACTTAGACCGTGTTTTTGGTTTAAAACAGCAACTTTGCATTGTATTTTCATATGGTATTTATGGTTGTATTCTAGTTTTCCTGGTCTCATTTTATAGAATGGAAGACATATATTACAGAAATTGAGATGATTTTGATTGGTTTCACAATGAAAAGTACCTTGAAACTGAGTTCAAAGTAGCAGAAATGTTCAATTTTTGCCAAAGTTCAAAACTAAACAAATGCCACACATCCAATACACGTCAACTGGTGAGTCTATTCTTTCACGAGCGCGCTGATATTATTTATACCATTTCTACACTAATGCAGTAGTCTCCATAACAGTAAATCTTCTATTTTTTTGAGAATAAAAATTCAAAGTGGACAGCAAAAGAAATGTAACAGAGGCCTGGGGACACAACTAATGAACAGAGGAAATGTTATTTTAGTGCCAGGAATATCTGTCTTGTTTATTCTGGACCCTATTTGGATATTGGCATCTTTTGAAATTTGTGTGAAATTGGCAAAATTGCCAAATTCTGACCACTTTATTGGATAGTTGAAATCAGTAAATGGGTGGTTTCTTGTACTCATTCGATAGAAAAAATGGAGTTCTAGCGAAATAATTATGGTTTTTGTCGACTAGTACACTGGAATTGGCCGAAAATAGGGCTCAAAGTGGGCAAAATCACCGATGCATAAACATAATCGAGACCGCTAACTTCGTCAGAGCATAATTCCCTAAGTTTTCCATCAAATTTCATACTTTTGGTGTCATTATGATCAGGAAAAGATTCTCTATCATTTCATAAGAAAAAAATAATTTTTTTTTTTTTTTGAAAAATTTTCGACCCTGAGAACAAGTTTAGGAGAGGGCCTCTCGACCCTGAAAGGGTTAATCATCTGTAAACTGTATGCCTTTTATGATTAAATGACACTAAATGGCTAAAAGTGCTTTGTGAGCGTTTTTTTTTATTATTATTATCACACTGGCCGATTCCCACAAAGGCAGGGTGGCCCAAAAAAGAAAAACTTTCACCATCATTCGCTCCATCACTGTCTTGCCAGAAGGGTGCTTTACACTACAGTTTTTAAACTGCAACATTAACACCCCTCCTTCAGAGTGCAGGCACTGTACTTCCCATCTCCAGGACTCAAATCCGGCCTGCCGGTTTCCCTGAATCCCTTCATAAATGTTACTTTGCTCACACTCCAACAGCACGTCAAGTATTAAAAACCATTTGTCTCCATTCACTCCTATCAAACACGCTCACGCATGCCTGCTGGAAGTCCAAGCCCCTCGCACACAAAACTTCCTTTACCCCCTCCCGCCAACCTTTCCTAGGCCGACCCCTACCCCGCCTTCCTTCCACTACAGACTGATACACTCTTGAAGTCATTCTGTTTCGCTCCATTCTCTCTACATGTCCGAACCACCTCAACAACCCTTCCTCTGCCCTCTGAACAACAGTTTTGGTAATCCCGCACCTCCTCCTAACTTCCAAACTACGAATTCTCTGCATTATATTCACACCACACATTGCCCTCAGACATGACATCTCCACTGCCTCCAGCCTTCTCCTCGCTGCAACATTCATCACCCATGCTTCACACCCATATAAGAGCGTTGGTAAAACTATACTCTCATACATTCCCCTCTTTGCCTCCAAGGACAAAGTTCTTTGTCTCCACAGACTCCTAAGTGCACCACTCACCCTTTTCCCCTCATCAATTCTATGATTCACCTCATCTTTCATAGACCCATCCGCTGACACGTCCACTCCCAAATATCTGAATACATTCACCTCCTCCATACCCTCTCCCTCCAATCTTTCATCACCTAATCTTTTTGTTATCCTCATAACCTTACTCTTTCCTTTATTCACTTTCAATTTTCTTCTTTTGCATACCCTACCAAATTCATCCACCAATCTCTGCAACTTCTCTTCAGAATCTCCGAAGAGCACAGTGTCATCAGCAAAGAGCAACTGTGACAACTCCCACTTATATACAGCCTTATATACAGCAAATAAAATTGTTCAATGATCAAAATTTATGATTTTGTTTATTTAAATACAAATTATTTATGGTTGGTGGGAGTCATGTTGGCAAGCATGTGGACAAAGACAAATATGCAAAACAAGCCTTAATTTTGGCAACATTTTGCTCTAAAATAGACCTTTTACAAATGCTACTTAAGAGTAAAATATTGTTCTGCAAATGCATGTCTTTGCCCCAGAAAATTTTGTTTTCTAAAAGGAATTCCAATACCTCAAAATTTTGAGCTTTGTGCATCATGACATCACTTTCATAATTGGATGGGCTCTTCTGACTATCAGGGCAGACTTGAACCCTTGTTTCCATGGTCTCTAACCGTTGTAGCAGAGTGAACTTTAAAAGGTGCTCATCCTGCTCCCGTACTACTTGCTCCTATGGAAACCACACCAGGAATCAGAAAATTAAAATCTTCATGAATTAAATAAAGTCCCTGATTTTTGTTACTATATAACAAAAAAGAGAAACCTCATCTAATACATTAAACAATAATGAATTTATTAACAATGCATTAACCATAACAAGACATTATAACATAACCATATACAATTCCGCTATTAATCTGCACATTATTCTAAATTATATAGGAATAAAAATCTTTAAAAAACAAAAGTCATGTCAGCATTTTTTTGCATACACTTTTATTTATGTGATCTTCAAAACATGTCACACATTTAATGAGGAAAATGTTTTCCATACCTCTTTGACTTTATTCTCATCGGATGGAGGCTTTTTGTACTCAAATATCACAGAATTGGAGATGACAAAACCCTCGCAGGCAACCTGAAGAGTCACAAGGCCAACCTCATGTGCTGTGAACATCATATATATATGCATAAATAACAAGAACTAAAATTTCAATAATTACTAACTTTAAATTGAAAAAAAAAAGAGAGCATGTAAGATTGTAATTTTCACACATTATTTTCATACTGTACTTACGTACCTACAGTAGTGTTTGTTATTCATCAATTACACTTTTAACCAGTACCATCTGATTTGTACACAGCTGTTAGTCATCTTAATTTTAATACTGTACCTGTGAAAAACACAGTGAAAAAGAACTAGGAAACAATTTCTTACCAGGACAATAGCAGCGTAAAACACCTGACTGAACAAGAGTAGTTGACGTGGGGACGCCATCAAAAAGAACTGTATATGGAGAGGAACTGCTATACCAGGGACCGGTCACCAATACTTTCACTCCTCCCTGTTGTAACACAAAAAAAAAAAATAAAGAGGAAAATTAGTATCTATAAAAATTCAGTTAATTTTAAATTAAATTTAGTTCAGTATTTGCTAAATCAGATGCCAATTTGTAGAATGTTCCTCAACTTATGATGGGATTATGTTCAGAAGAACCCATCTAATATGTTCAGAAGAACCCATCTAATATGTTCAGAAGAACCCATCTAATATGTTCAGAAGAACCCATCTAAGCTGAAAATATCTTAAGTCGAATATGAATATATGATAAAAAAAATAAATAACTACTGTCACTGAATAAGTAAATAAACAAATAATTACTGTAATTAAATACAAGTATTAGAAAGTAAATAAATGAATACAAGTTTATCCTATCAATATATTTACAGTACTTTACAGTACAAAAAATAGTTTTACACTTTTATCGCACTATCGTAAAGTCAAAATATCTTAAGTCGAACCATCATAAAGTGAGGAGCATCTGTACAGGAGGTTCCTCAACTTACAAACACTCAAATTATAAGCATCTGCACTCATGAATGAAGCACTCAAGAACCAAGTAGTTATACAAAACCAAACCCTCAGTTATGAGTATGTGTGAAACATAAACATCCTCTTTGCTGATTGAAAACAGAAGGACTAGAGTGTCATTGGCAGACATTTCGAAGGCTGTAGCTTACTCCTAGCTTTCTCCTCTTTCCCTCTCTTTTAGCACATGGTACTTCAGCAAGAGCATACTGTCATGACCCACAAAGATAGCTCATGTGAATTTTTGCATTACTATTTCTAGTAATTAATGAGTATAAGGTTTCTATATCTGACACAAATTTTCCTTGAAAGCATTTTTTTTTTTTTTTTTAACAAGTCGGCCGTCTCCCACCGAGGCAGGGTGACCCAAAAAGAAAGAAAAAATCCCCAAAAAGAAAATACTTTCATCATCATTCAACACTTTCACCTCACTCACACACAATCACTGCTTTTGCAGAGGTGCCCAGAATACAACAGCTTAGAAGCATATAAAGATATACAATATATCCCTCCAAATTGTCAATATCCCAAACCCCTCCTTTAAAGTGCAGGCAGTGTACTTCCCATTTCCAGTACTCAAGTCCGGCTATATAAAAAAACTGGTTTCCCTGAATCCCTTTACTAAATATTACCCTGTTCACACTCCAACAGCTCGTCAGGTCCCAATACCATTCATCTCCATTCACTCCTATCTAACACGCTCACGCATGCTTGCTGGAAGTCCAAGCCCCTCGCCCACAAAACCTCCTTTAACCCCACCCTCCAACCTTTTCGAGGACGACCCCTACCCCTTCTTCCTTTCCCTACATATTTATACACTCTCCATGTCATTCTGCTTTGATCCATTCTCTCTCAATGACCAAACCACCTCAACAACCCCTCTTCAGCCCTCTGACTAATACTTTATTAACTCCACACCTTCTCCTAATTTCCACACTCTGAATTCTCTGCATAATATTTACACCACACACTGCCCTTAGACAGGACATCTCCACTGCCTCCTTGCTGCAGTATTTACAACCCAAGCTTCACACCCATATAAGAGTGTTGGTACCACTATACTTTCATACATTCCCTTCTTTGCTTCCATAGATAATGTTTTTTTGTCTCCACATATACCTCAATGCACCACTCACCTTTTTTTTCCTTCATCAATTCTATGGTTAACCTCATCTTTCATAAATCCATCCGCTGACACGTCAACTCTCAAATATCTGAAAACATTCACTTCTTCCATACTAATCCTCTCCAATTTGATATCCAATTTTTCTTTATCTAAATCATTTGATACCCTCATCACCTTACTCTTTTCTATGTTCACTTTCAACTTACTACCTATACACACACTCCCAAACTCATCCACTAACCTTTGCAACTTTCCTTTAGAATCTCCCATAAGCACAGTATCATCAGCAAAAAGTAACTGTTAATTCCCATTTTGTATTTGATTCCCCATAATTTAATCCCACCCCTCTCCTGAACACCCCAGCATTTACTTCTTTTACAACCCCATCTATAAATATATTAAACAACCATGGTGACATTACACATCCCTGTCTCAGACATACTTTTACCAAGAAGTAGTCTCCCTCTCTTCTACACACCCTAAACTGAGCCTCACTATCCTCATAAAAATTCTTTACAGCATTTAGTAACTTACTACCTATTCCATATACTTGCAACATCTGCCACATTGCTCCCCTATTTACTCTATCATATGCCTTTTCTAGATCCATAAATGCAATGAAAACTTCCCTACCTTTATCTAAATACTGTTCACATATATGCTTCAATGTAAACACTTGATCTACTCATCCCCTACCCACTCTGAAACCTCCTTGCTCATCTGCAATCCTACATTCTGTCTTGCCTCTAATTCTTTCAATAATAACCCTATCATACACTTTTCCTGGTATACTCAGTAAATTTATTCCTCTATAATTTTTACAATCTCTCTTGTCCCCCTTCCCTTTATATAAAGGAATTATACATGCTCTCTGCCAATCCCTAGGTACCTTCCCCTCTTTCATACATTTATTACACAAAAATACCAACCACTCCAACACTATATCCCCTCCTGCTTTTAACATTTCTGTCATGATCCTGCCAGTTCCAGCTGCTTTACCCCTTCATTCTACATAATGCCTCATGCACCATCCCCCCACTCACATCCTGCTCTTCTTCACTCCTAAACGATGGTATACCTCCCTGGCCAGTGCATGAAATTACCGTCTCCCTTTCTTCCTTGACATTTAAAAGTTCCTCAAAATATTCTCGCCATCTACCCAATACCTCTAACAAATCCATTCGTTCCCTAAGCTTTCTTAACTTGTTTATCTCACTCCAAAATTTTTTCTTATTTTCATCAAAATTTCTTGACAGTGCAACTCCCACTCTATCATCTGCTCTCCTTTTACACTCTCTTCACCTTTCTTTTACTCTCCACATACTCTGCTCTTCTTATAACACTTCTGCTTTGTAAAAACCTCTCATAAGCTACCTTTTTCTCTTTTTTCACACCCTTTACTTCATCATTCCACCAATCATTCCTTTTTCCTCCTGCACCCATCCTCCTATAGCCACAAACTTCTGCCACACATTCTAATACTGCATTTTTAAAACTATTCCAACCCTCTTCAATCTCTTCCCCCACTACTCATACCTGCACTAGCCCGCCTTTCTGCCAATAGTTGCTTATATCTCACCAGAACTTCCTTCCTCACCTCTTTCTTACTTGTTGTTGCCATTTTCCTTTCGTCCCATCTACATACGCGTATTTTTTATAATTGCTAGTACAGTGGAACCTCTGGTCACAAACGCTTCCAAACACAAACAAATCGGTTCACAACCAAAAAATTTGCCAATTTTTGCATCTGGTCACAAACACATAATCAGGTGCCGAACAAACACAGCCGCACTAATTTTCACACTCCGTGCCATTTTTTTTTGCACACGCAAATTTTTCCCACTTCCTGTTGTTTACGACCGTAATTACGACTACAATAAATTCGGATTAGCAATGTTTTATCAGCAGGTAGTGCACAAATAGCTTTTTGTAGCACCAGTACTCAACTAGGGCTTGCCATATATGATTTTTGGTATATATTTTTTTCTCGGTTGTCTGTCGTACTTATTGAAACATGAGCAATGTATGCTGGAAAGATACTTCTTAATTAACATAAACCAAAAACGAAAAAAATCGGACAATAAATAACAGAGTTCACTTCTCAGCCATTAGACGTCCCTCAAAACTCTTAAAACTGTTTACAGGAAACAGTTCATAGGGTGTCTAGAATGGACTCGTGCAATGTTAGTTTTCTCTGTCGTTCAAGTTTTTCTCAGTGTTATTCAAGGTTTTTACATTCTATTGTATAATTATTTTTGGGCTTAAAAAAAAAAAAACATACATACAGTAGGGGTCTGGAATGGATTAATCATATTTATATATAATTCAATGGGGAAATTAGGTTCGGATCACGACCAAATCAGGTTGTGACCAGAGTTTTGGAACAAATTATGGTCGTGACCAGAGGTTCCACTGTACTGCATACCATATGAACATGCAGTACTGTTTACTAATTAAATATCACTAATGCAGTAAAAAAAAAAAAAAGCATTTAAAAAAATTCTTACATTATAAGATATTAAAGCATAATTATACAATAAAACCCCCATATCTACTGATTCAGTACCTGCAGCTTCAGTTATTCATGGTTTACTGTAGCCAAGCAATACCTTCATGGTTTTGGTATCCACGGCAAGTCCTTGGAACGTATCCCCCACGGATATGGGGGTCCTAATGTACTTCATTATTCACTAGTATGATCTAATTGTGAGCTCATGAACAAAACTGAGCTCACAATTACACGTGTGAAACTCATCTTTTAAAGAGTACATATGCGCTATCTCACACTTTTAACTCGGTATGCCTCCTTCTGCCCTTACTGTCTTCCCATTCTCTACTTTGAAGACTGCAGTCAACTAGGAAGAGCCATCAGGCTAGTCTTACCACTTTATCAATTGGTTATAATCATAACCACATTTTTTAAAGGGGTGGACTGGTAAACCAGTGGAAGGCCTCAGTCTGATGACCAAAAGTTCCAGCTGCAGGTCATCTTATGACTAAGACCTACATCAGGAAACATTTGTCCTCTTTTCAGACAAACCTATCACTATACAAGAAAACTTTTCTATTGTCAACATTTTGCTTCTTTATACTACTGGAAACACTGCCAGTTTTTATGCCAGTTATCATTCTATCAACTAAGCGGTTCTCCTCATATATCAGAACTATTGATCATTAGTTCTGCCATTTACAGACTGGAGAGTAAAGATTGATATTCACTTTACTTGGGTACCAGATAGTTATCACATGCCTTGTTAGTGATGTGCTGTGCTTGTAGTTGATGTATACATGATTGTAGTACCCTTGGAAGATGAGGAAACGAGTCATACAATGAAGGATACTGTCTTTCTAAGTCATCAATGGGTCACTGATCTTATGTGACCTCCACTCAATTCCAGACACTGCAGCAGCTACTAGCTCATGCAAGGTAGCAACCAACCCATGTATTTTTCAAATTTATTTCTCAAGCCACTCAACACCTGAGGTGTAGAAGATTGAGGCACTTATGCAATATATGGGAATCTTTATTTAGGATATGTTTTGCCACACAGTGGCTTCATCAGTCCAATACAAAGCAGAAAGGTGAAAGGAGAGGAGAAGTTTGAGGTAATCAGTCCCCCAGTCTGGAGTTGATGTGTTCAGTCCATCAGTCTTGTAGACTGATGGACTGAACACATTGACTCCAGGCTGGTTCAGATTCACAGAGAGCACACGAAGAAATCTTCACAGAGCTAAGTACACCTCAAACTCCTCTCCTTACACCTTTCTGCTTTGTATTGGACTGATGAAGCCACTGTGTGGCAAAACGTTTTCTAAATAAAGATTCCCATATGTTGCATAAGTGCCTCAATCTTCAACTTGTCGGTTTTCAAAACCATTCATCACACCTGAGGTGTTACAGCTAATTTCTTTGGAAGCTTTTGGGAACAGGCTGGACAAATGTGTGGGTGGGAGTGGTTGGTTTTGAGAGGAACCTGCCTGGTATGGGCCAGTAGGCCTGCTGCATTGTTCCTCCATACTTATGTTCTTATGAGTGAGAGGAGTTGGATTTAAGTGGGACCTGCACAACATGAGTTAGAATGGTTACCAAAACTTATTCTTGAGGTAGCTTTGAGAATAGGTTGAAAAAACATTTTTGTTCAAAGATCTGGGTTTGAGAAGAAGCCTAATATGGGTTGGTAGGCCTGCTGCAGTGTTTTCTCCATTCTTATGTTCTGACATAATTGGCAATTTGGTTAGATATCTAAAACTATTGCCAAACCATTGCTTTCCTGTCTTTTCTAAATTTGATTTTTTTATGACTCACGAAATCGTAATGACACGATTGCAAACAAACCATACCCCTGGCTAACGCGACGGTCTGGAGTTTTGAGACTCTCTGACCGCGGGTTCAATCCCGGCCGGGGTATGGTTTGATTTTTTTTTCATTTTTACCCCACTGTTGCTTGCTCTGTGGAAAATACATTCCTTTCTAGTGATAATACTTTATTTCTGACAGAAGTGTATGAAATACTCTTGTACAATTACATCAGACAAATGGGTGCACAATTTCCATCTGCTCTTATTCAATGACAAATCTGAAGTCAAAATGGTCCCTTTACCATACACTTGATATGAAGCCAAGTGTAACTCTAAAGAATGACAGAAGGTAAAGAAATTACAGAAGTAAATGTTGCATGTTCAGTAATTGCTTGTCCGTGCACCTACATGCAGGAATGCATGCAGATAAGCAAGTGCAGGTCTATTTTGCAAGGCACTAAACTGTGCTATACTCAAGCACCACTGCATACCATCCTCTAAACACCACATTCGAAATTAACTATCCTTGGGAAATATATACATGGGTGTGCAAATGAGTGTATGTAATTATACATTTGTTTATAGTTATAGGATAGAGCTATGATCATTGTGTCATGTCTTTGTTTCTTAGTCTGTCACATATTTTCCTAAACATTCCTTTTGTTGCACTATAGAGGCCAATTTGTTTCTTATAAACTTTATCACAGCTGGTATCCAGGCCTCACTGACCAAAAACTTTCTATGTGGGTTTTCTGTAAAAGTTACAAAATTGTACGTTTCTATGAGGTCATTTATAAAAAGAACTGTCTTCAACTGTTTATAGGCACTGTATATTGACAAAGAAAAGAAAGTTGTCTCTTTGGGTTGCTTAAAGCAGGTGTTTGTGAATCAGTCCTCTAATTTTTGTTGACGAGTTCTACACTCCTTCAACTTGTGCTGGGCCATTAGGTATAAGTATTTTTGTTCCATTCAATACAGTTTTATCTCATTCTATGGTAATAGGTGTGAGTGCTCATTTATTCCAATAGATTTAGTATTTGCAGACGTAGTAATATGGTAGTTTTGATTCAATTATATGACTTATTTTGTTTTCCCAGTGTCCTTTACTTAAGATATCTAACCTTTTCTCTTTCCTTATGTTTAACCTTTCTGGTCGAGTCTATATCTGCTGTTTCTTGTCTTTATTCACCTGTGCCAAAATTGTGAGCATCTGTAACATTCACTGCCACTCACATGGCCATATCATTTTGTTTCACTGAATTAATTCTTGCACAGCTTCTTTATATTTTCAGGTGCATAGGGTCTACTCCTCTCTCTTGCTACTCTAGGAGTCTCCTGCTCCTCTGCACCTGCCTTCCATCTCAAGTTCACTTCTCAGTGTGTACAGTCTTTATTCCTTCTTTCTACACTTCTTCCTACCACATCTAGATTTTTACCCTTTTCTCTTCTCTTTGGCATGTCAGGTACAGAAGTAATAAGACTGGGCAGGAAAACCTCCGTTTCCCATTCCCTTGTGCTTCACAAATTTTTTATCAAATCTCTGGGTTGTGAGGAAGCTCTTTACTATGATTTGAGGAAAAAACTCAGAAATCTTTGGCACCAAGGTATGATAAATCTTCTCCTGGGTTTTAACACTGGCCTTAATTCACCCTGTCACTGTATCCTGGGACACACTTGTTAGTTCCTACACACCACTGGCAAAGTGGGAGAGTCATGACAAATGCCAATCTAGTAGCAGATCCCAGACTCCTGGAAAGGGTTTACGTGACTCCTTGTACCACTGCACTTCAGTCTTTGAAATCTTCAATCTTTGAAATTTTAAATGTGTTGAGACTAACTAAAATATTAAAGGAGAATTCTTCATTGACTGCTGTACATTACACAAGGTATCTGGTAACTGCTTCAGTGTAATATTGTACTAAGCATAATGCTGTTGATTTTTTAACAATCGTAGGTGTGAAGAAAAATATATGAAGTTTTTAAGATATATATAGGTTGATAGATATGCTGTGATACATACGAAACTCCAACTTTCTTTCACTGCTATGTATATGTCAACATTATAACTTCAGCACTGTTATTGTCAGGCCTTCACTGATACTACATAATACTTACCTTCTAGGTTACCTGTCATCTTAGTCAAGTTGAAACATTAGTTATTACCCATACTAGTTAACTTCTGCTAAGACTACTGTACTGTAGGAACAAGTGAAATGATTACTATATTAAATCTTGTTGTATTACATCACTAAACAAAGATTAAAGATCATCTTCTATTTCCAGCACTTGTAAGTTGCCGCCACCATCACCTCACCTCTTTCTACCTGCTCATGTAGTACAGTAGCAATGGAAACAATACAAAGTGTCAAAATATATATTTTTAAAATATATAGTGAAAATAAGTTTGAAACTATATTTGCTCCATGAATTCATGCACTAGTGCAATTAAGCTACTGCCTATATACTTTACACTGAGATTCTAATTACCATATATATTATTTATTAGTTACTTATTAAAATGATAATACAACATCTGTAACCAAACACTGAGTATGATGTACAAACATAGCAAAGAAAAAGGCTCCTGTGGTCAATCAATGTAATCAATCGTAATCTTTCTTAGATGTATGATGCAGGGAGAGAGAGAGAGAGAGAAAGAGAGAGAGAGAGAGAGAGAGAGAGTGAGTGAGTGAGAGTGTGAGTGTGAGTGAGTGAGAGTGAGTGTGAGTGAGAGTGAGAGTGAGTGAGAGTGAGAGTGAGAGTGAGTGTGAGTGTGAGTGAGATGTGAGGTGAGTGAGTGAGTGAGTGTGAGTGAGTGTGAGTGAGTGTGATGTGAGTGTGAGTGTGAGTGTGAGTGTGAGTGTGAGTGTTGAGTGAGTGTGAGTGAGTGTGAGTGAGTGTGAGTGAGTGTGAGTGAGTGTGAGTGAGTGTGAGTGAGTGTGAGTGAGTGTGATGAGTGTGAGTGAGTGTGAGTGAGTGTGAGTGAGTTGAGTGAGTGTGAGTGAGTGTGAGTGAGTGTGAGTGAGTGTGAGTGATGTGTGTGTGTGTGTGTGTGTGTGTGTGTTGTGTGTGTGTGTGTGTGTGTGTTGTGTGTGTGTGTGTGTGTGTGGTGTGTGTGTGTGGTGTGAGTGAGTGAGTGCATGCACGAGCATGAGTATGCATGTGTGTGTGTGAGTGCACGCACGAGCATGAGTATGCATGTGTGTGTGTGAGTGCACGCACGAGCATGAGTATGCATGTGTGTCTGTGCATGCATGTGTATATAGGCATGAGTGTGCATGCATGTGTATATAGGCATGAGTGTGCATGCATGTGTATATAGGCAAGAGTGTGCATGCATGTGTATATAGGCAAGAGTGTGCATGCATGTGTATATAGGCATGAGTGTGTGTGCATGTGTATATAGGCATGAGTGTGATTATATACACACACTGCATGTAGTGACTTTCTTTTGTGTCTAGCAATATTTTGTTGCATGTAAACTACATTACCTGTACACTGCAGAAATTAAATAAATTATGTGTATTGTATGCATGTGAATGTGTGTGTGCATGTGAGAGAGAGCACGTTATGTTATAACTGTGTGCACTTAAAAAGAAGAAAGAATAAACTAATAAAGAGAAAAAACTCACCTCAGGATAAGCCCACTCTGGGGAATAGTCAGTAATATTGGCAGTATTCTCACGGTAGTCCATCCTGGTAGTCTGTTGAGACTGATTAGTTACAGACTTGCCACTGTTGTTTGTGCTGCTGCTACTGCTGCTGTTGCTATTGTTGCTATTAAGGTTGTCTGGAGGGGATGTGTCATAGTGATCCAGATCAGGAAAATCACTCAGCATGTCAAAAGCATCAAGATTAGCAAGAACATCATCCTCGGGTGAAGTCATATCATTATCAATGAAGTCCATAGGATTGACGTCAGCAGAGGAAGGTGTTTTGCGACTACATGACCCAGGGGGAAGATTGGCTGAGAGAGTTTTCTGTATGTCATCTGGAGAGAGATCTAATGTAGTTGAAAACAGTTCTGTCTTTTCCACAGACAGTTCAGATAATTCAGCTTTTATGCCTAAAAAAGTGTCTTTTGTTGTCTGTTGTTGATGATGTTGCTGTTGTTGGTGTTGCTGTGAATGAGATTGCTGCTGCTGCTGCTGCTGCTGCTGTTGTTGATTTGTCCTTGCTTCTCCAGCTTCAAGACTAGATACGAGATTAGCAAATGTGCCCGAGTCAAGTTCAAGATTGCCGTTGGTGGCATCTAGCTTTAAACTTTCCATCACATCTTTGTCACCTTCACGTTTTACCAGCAGATTAGCATTATGCTGTGGTGGACCACTTTGTTGCTGTCCATGTTGTTGCTGTGGTCCATGTTGGGCTGGGTGTTGCTGTTGCTGCTGTTGTTGCTGGTGCATGTGGTGGTGATGGTGAGGATGGTGATGGTGGTGGTGAGATGCGTGGTGGAGGTGCGCTACGTGGGTGGAGTGTGGAACAAGAGGTGGTCCATGGACGATGGAGGCAGCAGTGGAGATAGGATGGGGCTGGCCCAAGTAAGATGTGAGCGTGAGGGGGCCGGCCAGTGGGGGATGTGGAGATGGGTGGTGCCCACCCCCACCACCACTGTTGAGTATGAGCAGCCCACCCCCGCCCTGGATGTTGGACAGGTTCAGGATTAGCGGAGCTGTGGTAGTGTTGAGATTGTTGTTATTGTTGTTGGGCGTGGTGTTGTTGTTGCTATTATTATTATTGTTGTTGTTGTTATTATTGTTGTTTTTGTTGTTGTTAGTGGTGTTGCTGGTAGAGGGTGGGGGCTCTGGTGGGCGGGCCCCCTCCTGAGTTACGCCCTGGTACTGGGGGGTGACGCACCCACCTGGCCCACTCGTTGACGATACCTGTGGGAGCAGCAGCATGCAGCCATCACATGCACGCACAGGGTATGACCTGACCACACTGTGGCAGTTACAGCAGCTTGGGGCAAGCCAAGGTAGGCTTATGGCAGGCTGGGGTGGGCTAAAACAAACATGCTGCCCTTCAACTCCACACCGACAGTCACATGTGGTGTCAAGTTGCAAGGAGGTCTTTTTTGATTTTTAAGTTTACCTTCCCAATTATTATTATATTCTTGGGGAAGCACTTAACTCATAGGAGATCATAAAGTGCCTGGGAAATGAGAGATAATGAGGTTTAATCCAAGGAAGGGGAAGGTAGCTCCAATTCCTTGAATCAGGAACCCTTCACTAGCATCAAGGCACACCCCTTTAAGGGACTGTCTTCAATAAACCTGATTGACTAAGATAAAAACAATATAAGGCAACTCTTAAACTGACTAATACTGACTACAGGTCCAGCTCAATAAGCTACCCACATAATATTACTGTACTAATATCTAAATATTAAGAAATTGGAATTTGATCACTCCAGTCATTGAGGGAGGCCATCTCAACTCCTACAGCAAACAAAGATAGCTTCTATTATATTGCAACATCTACATGTTGTTCCACTTCACATGTTCAGCAAACAACACTACATTCTCTACACATGTAGTAATAGTTGCCAAATTTACTTTGTCGCTAGTAACTAAACTGTAGCCTAAATATTAACAGCATTAATCCTGGTAATAAAGTGAAGTATAGAGTTCAAGTTATCATTATTTGAAATATATCTAAATCCTGAACTGTATGATCAATTTGCTGATTTATTAAATGTTTTTATGCATATCTGTATCAAAATTTATTGGAAACGTGGTAAGAACTACTCTCATGCAACTGAGATACATTTTTTTTTATATTCTACTGAACTGGGCGCAAGCAGGTTGAGGGTGCCCTTGACCAGTCTGCCTATGGTGTCCCCCAGCCATGGCTTAATCTCACACACTAAAAATATTTCACTACTCTACATTTTTACTACAGGGGGCCATCAATTTACAAATGTTGGATTTACGATGACTCGCACCTACGAATGGGGTCCAAAAGACAATTATAAGAAAATTACTGTTTTGTAAATGTAGACTAGTAACAGCAAATGCCTGTGTCACATAACCATTGAATATGTTAACATTTTCTATAGAATAACAGGATCAGGCTTACAAACAACTCATTCATAAGTTGAGACAACGGAAGCACAACACATTTATGAATTCTTAGACCCCCTGTATTGATTAAAAGTATCTTCAATACTAATATACAGTCAACATGTATGATCATATGTTACACAATAATAAATTAGACTTAAAAGTCTATATAATTACTATATATGTATCAATACTATAATACAATTTAGATAAAATAATTCAAATGGAATAAATTCATTATGGCATGTTTATATTATTGGCATATTTATAATTTATACTGGATCTAAATGGCCTATTGTGAACAATTGTGAAGACAAGACTTGTTTGTGCAGACAGAATCTTTACCAGGACAATATTCTGAACCGTTAAGATCTTTATCAAGTCAAAGATAAGACACATTGCACATATGCATATACATGCACACACATTTTTAATACAGTATATATTATTATATACTGTGTATATATGTGTGCATATGTACACATATGGCAAGTGGCACACACACATACAGCACATTCACACATGCACATGTACACATGCATACATACACACGCACATGCGCACAGTGAATAGGCGGGGCCAGAAGCTATGAATTGACCCCCGCAACCACAATTAGATGAGCACACACAGTATATACTGTACATGTATAGTGCTCATCATCCAAGTATACCAGCCAACCCCCCTTGCAAACCACAACCACAAAATAGGTCATTCCTTGCGCTTTAAGGCATCCTTCAACTGTCTAGAAAGACATTAACACCCCTTCATCAGGGTTTAATGCTGTAAATTCTCCCAGAACTTGCAAATGGCATCCTGAAGCTGTTGGAGTGGGATGATACACTATCCCTAGTAGATATCTCTATCACAGCTCAGAGATTCTCAACAGAGTTTAATTACAGGGAATTTCCTGGCAAGTAATTAAAAAAAAAAGGGTACCATACAATAGATTTCCTGGGGTGGCAAGGAGCACTAACATGTTCATTTTTCCACTACAATCTACCTTGCCCGTAATTACTATTGCATTTGCTTTGCCTGCTTTCATAAGGTGAGGTCTAGAATCTTTCCTTAATTCATGGTATGACTTAACAAATCTTTGCACCACAGTGTGTTAAAGATTCAGGATAATGCTCACAGAGCAATTCTAGGCAAGTCATTAGTCAACATTAGTGAGGACGTGTTTCTAGGCTTCCCCAGACATGCATGTGAGCATCTCATCAACACCATTCTCAAGGAACTGACACAAACAAGTCCTTACTCCTTTGCTTGATGGCCTGCCTTATGTAATCCAAGGCAATTGCTGTGCGATTATCTCCGGTCAGCGA